CATAGCCCTGCAATCTTGTCCTCCCTAAATACCTATCTACTTCTCTCTTAAAAATTGTTATTGAATCGGTTTCCACTATCCTTTCAGGCAATGCATTCCAGATCCGAACTCACTGAGTGAAAAAAAATTCCTAAATTCCCTTCTGTTTCTTGTAACAACTAAATTAAATTAGTGTCCTCGGGTTACTGACCCACATGACAGTGGAAACAGTATTTCCCGGTTCAACCTATCAAATTCTCTCATGATCTTGAAAACCTCTATTAAATCCCCTCTTAATCTGCTCTAGGGAGAATAGTCCTAGTTTCGCTAACCTCTCCTCATAACTAAGGCCCTAAAATGGAGTCCTTTAGCTCAGTGGTTAGAGCACTCGCTTTGCAAGCGAGAGACCTGAGTTCAATTCCAGGCAGAGGGCGAAACCTTGGGCAACTTTCCTTACTCCACACGCCTAATAATAATCCCTCCAAAACCCCAAACAATAATAAATTGGTTATTTTCAATCTACGACTGTTTGTGGGACATTGCTGTGCCCAATTGGCTGCCGAGTTCGCCCACAAATATACAGTCAATTCACTTTACAGTGTCTTCTGTGAAGCGCTTTGGGACGTCCTCCCGACGTGAAAAGCGCTATATCAAATGCAAGGATTATTATTATTATTATTCCTGGTACCATCCTGGTAAACCTCCTTTGCACCCTCTCCAATGCCCTAACATCTTTCCTAAACTGTGATGCCCAGAACTGAACACAATACTCCAACTGAGGCCTAACCAGCATTTTATAAATATTCAACATAACCTCCTGACTTTTGAATTCTATGCCCCTGCTTAAAAAAGCATACGAGATACTAGGTTTTACAACAGCTTTATCTACCTGTCCAGCCACCTTCAGAGATTTGCTTATGTGGACCCCCAGGTCTCTCTGTTCATTTGCCCCCTTTAAGATTGTACCATATTGCTTATCATGCCTCGCCTCATTCTTCTTACCCAAATGCAACACTTCACATTTCTCCACATTAAACCTCATCTGCCAAGTTTCTGCCCATTTTACCAACCTGTCTAAGTCCTCTTGGAGTCTAGTTCTATCCTCCTCACCATTAACTACTTTTACTAGCTTAGTTTCGTCTGTAAATTTGGAAATTGTGTTCCCTATTTCCAGGTCCAGATCATTAATATAGATCAGAAAGAGCAGTGGTCCCAATACCGACCCCTGAGGGACACCACTACACACCTCCCTCCAGTCAGAAAAGCAACCATTTACTTCCATTCTCTGCCTCAACAACAACAAGTTACATTTGTATAGCGCTTTTCACGTCGAGAGGACGTTCCAAGGCGCCTCCTAGCCAATCCTGGATCCATGTTGCCACAGCCCCTTTAATACCGTGGGCTTCTATTTTGTTTATAAGTCTCTTATGTGGCACTTTGACAAATGCCTTTTGAAAATCTAGATAAATTACGTCTACTGCACTACCTTCATCACTTCATCAAAAAATTCTATTAGGTTTGTCAGACACGACCTGCCTTTAATAAATCTGTGTCGACTGTCCTTTATTAAACCAAATTTTTCTAAGTGAGAATTTATATTGTCTCGGATTATAGTCTCCAGAAGTTTTCCTACAACTGATGTTAGGCTGATTGGCCTGTAGTTCTTAGGTTTATTCTTCTGCCCCTTTTTGTACAGGGGAGTACCATTTGCAAAGTTCCAGTTCTCTGGCACCACTCCAGTGTCCAAAGAGGATTGAAAGATTGTGGTCAGATACTCCGCTATTTCCACCCTTCCTTCCCTCAGTAACCTAGGATGCATCCCTTCCGGACCAGGTGACCTATCTATGTTGAGCACCGACAGCCTTTTTAGTAACAAATATCAAATGCAAGGATGATTATTGATTAGACTGTTCTGTACTACCAGATGTTGCTTAAGTGGACCCTAGCAGTGAAGACAAGATGCCCACAAGAGTGAGGGACTCAAAACAGGTTATGACAAAATAAACCTGATTTCCGCAACAACAGTGGTGCTTTCCACCAGGTGATAATGAAGTCCATTGAGTACAACCACTGCAAATATATTCATGGGATGTTTTTGTGAAGTCTTTGTGACTTTGTGAAGACACCTCCAATTCAAAACCAGAAGGTTGTACTGCTCATACATAACTGTCCTGCTCACCTACCAGCTGCTGGTCTACAAACCACAGATGGCTGAATCAAGATGCTCAGCCTACCTAAGAACACAAAAATAAGATCCAACCAGGATAAATTACCACCTTCAAACAGATCTACTGAAGGAAACTTTTGAACTCTATCCTGAGCATTACCAAATGCCCAAAACAAATATACCTGAAGGATGCATTCTACATGCATTCTAGAAGCTGGAGAGTGGGATAAGCCAAACACAACTTTTATTGAGAGATGTACCAAAACCCATTGTCCTGTCCTTGCCTCAGCCAAATCGTCCTTCCACTCCAGTATCATCCTGGAGAACGAGCACAACCCCAGGCTTCTCTTCTCTACAACAAATAGGCTCCTTCACCCACCTTTACATGCCCCGTTTATTCTTTTTCAACTCCAAATGGGAGTTGATGGGATTCATCCGGTCCAAAATCGAGAGGATCTGCTCTACTGCCTCTGCTCTTGCTACTACCACTCCCTCCTCTTCTCCCCCTCTAGTTCCACCTTCCCTCCCTACACATTTTCATCCCTCTCCACCATCATCTCCCGAATAAAGCCCACCACATGCTCCCTCAATCCCATCTCTCTCCTGACATCCCAGCTCCACCTCCTTGCCCCCTCCTAATGGACATCAGGAAATTCTTTGTCCACTGGCAATGTTCCCACCCCCTTCAAAACTGCTGTCGTCATCCCTCCTCAAAAAAACCTTTCCTCAACTCATCCCTGTTCTCCAATTGCTGTCCTGTCTCCAACCTTCATTTCCTCTCCCCGGTCCTGGAATTAGTCATAGCTTCCCAGCTTCGCTATTTCATTTCCCTGCAGGAACCCCTCCTACAGTACTGGTTAAAGTCACCAACAACATTCTCTCCATCTGTGATCAAGCGTCTCTCTGCCTCCTTGTCATTCTTGACCTCTCTGCTGCCTTCAACACTGTTGACTATTCTATCCTTCTCCAGTCTTTCCTCTCAGCTACATGGTTTTGTCCTTTCCTGGTTTCATTCTTACCTATCTCAATGTCTCCACTTCACATTTGCACCATCTCGTGGGGCATTCCTCATGGTTTTTATCCTCCATCCTCTCCTCTTTAATATTTACATGCTCCTGCTCAGCAATACCACTCACAAGAATAGGATAAACTCCATGTCTGTGCTGTGACCCGTTCAGCTTTCCCCCACCCAACATTGCCAACCTCACTAATTACCATTGGGCCACTCCTCCTCATCCTTACCGACAGATTCATCGCATCCAGTCTTGACTATGCCAACTTTCTGCTCGTCAAACTTCACAACTATTCCCTCCACAAGCTGCAGACCATCCAGAACTCTGCAGCTCTTGTCCTCTGCTACACTATGCCCCATCCTCGCCTGGCTCCACTGGCTCCCCCAGAACGTTGAGTTCAAGATCCTTGTGCTCACGTGTAAATGCCTCCAGTCTTGTTCCATCCTACATCTGCGACCTTCTTAAACCCTACCGCCTACTCTCTCTACTCAGCAGGCACAGGCCTGTTCATATCCCCCGCTCTGCCCACCCACCAACAAGGGTCAGACTTTCAGTCTACCTGCCCCAATCTCCGAAACTCCATCCTGAGTCCCTTAACCTTGCCTCCATCAAGGACCATCTCAAGACCTTGGCTCCTTGACCAAATCTCCGGTCATCTTCCCACCCCTCCCAAATCTAACCCCCCAGCTTTGTTGCAAACCCTCAACTGTTCAGTGTCTTGTGGGACGTCCCATTGACAGGAAAGGCAGTACGTAAGTGCAAATTGTTGTTGTTGATTTGCATCAAAAAAGCAGGACACTCCGAGGCACGTGAAGATGACTGACTTCTTCAAGGAGTCCAACTGAGATATATGGAAATTGTTATGGAATTTTTTTTGATGTTTAAAGATATTGTGTTTGATGCACTCTTTACAGTTTCAAATATTTAGTGTTTGTTATTTACAGTACTGAAGATTATGGTTTGGTTAGTGAAGATTTACTGTTTGAAACATTTTACTTTCAACCATTCAGTGACTGGCACCTTCCTTCCAGTGTCAAAGATTTACCACTATGTCATTTACAGTATTAAAAATGTTGTACTTCATAACCACTAGCTGCTGCAAGTGAGTGCTTCCGGGGTTTTTTAAGCAATCAATTATATACTGCTCATCAGTCGTGTGTAGTTGCTTTAATGCATTTACTGCTACGCGCATGTGCAGTGAAAATGGCTATTGCGGCCTTGTTTTGGAGCAAATTTATAATTTGTGGATCTGGACTTCCAATCTTATAATACTTGCTTTTTAAATTGTGTCTATAAACCTGGCAGCCAATTTGACCGTGAATGGAAGATTTATCTGGAGAAATTCCCTTCCATTTGGAATGCCATGGGATCTTTCAACGTGCACTTGAGAAGGCAGACATGCCCTTGGTTTATAAAGTCTCATTTGAAGGGCAGCATCTCTGAAAATGCAGCACTCCTCTCCAGCACTGCATTCAAAGAGCCAACCCAGACCATGAGCTCAACTTCCCAACGGTGTACAGTAAAGGCACAGAAAGAAGCTTCATGGCATTGTTTGAAACCATTTTAGTTAAAAAAACACTTAAATGCAAAAAAAAGCCTAATGAGCAAAACATAACGCTTTACAACTCTGGACAGTTAATTCTCCGCCAGTCCAAAAATGAAAGGAGCACTTTGGGCGGAGGGGGGGATCGCTTTTCACGAGACAAAGGGATACCGTCCCTCGGAATTTATTTTCCCTCATCTTTCTAGCCCGAAAAACCGGGATCGCTCCAAGGGTATGCGGAGGATCAATACACCCTATTCATCTGCATTCCCAAGCGGAATTTGGCCGAATTGTTTACCTTTTCTCCCTCGTTGAATAGGTCCTTTTGTTCTCCGGTGGAGGTTTTTAATTCAGCAAACAACGGTTTTCTTTCTCTTCTTTCTTCCCCAATAACACGACTTGAACTCGTCTCTCTCTCTCCTTCCTGCCTGACGCGACCTTCTTCCTCCGGTAACTGTTTTAACTCCCCCTTTAACTCTTACCTGATTCCCCTTCTCCCCACACACAGAATATAAACTCTTAGCCGTTGGGGGGGATACAATTAACCGAGTTTATAAACCTCTGGTTCCCGTCGCCCGAACGCACTTATCCAATCGATTTTTTTTTCTCTTCCTGGAAAATGCAAACGAGGCGCGAGTCACTTCCCGCCTCCGCGGCGCCACGAGCGTCACCAACCGCTTCCCCTCGAGCAGGAGCCCCCCCTCCCCCTCCCTCCCCCCTCCCCCTCCCCGGCGCGCGGCGCGCGCGAGAACCGGCACCAACGGTTATTTTCCCCGGATATTGAAGGAATGCCGTAGGTTTGTCGCCCCCCGAAAAAAAAAGTAGCTCGAGTATATATTGATGTGTCGCCTACTGTCAGAGGTCAACGGCGAGGCCGACTCAGTGCTTTTTCAAACTGTAAGAAAAGTAAAGGTCTTCAGGGGGGAGGGGGAGAGAGAGAGGGGGGAGGGGGAGAGAGGGGGGAGGGGGAGAGAGAGGGGGGAGGGGGAGAGAGGGGGGGGGAGGGGGGATGGGGGAGGGGGATGGGGGGAGGGAGGGGGGGATGGGGGAGAGAGAGGGGGGGGAGAGGGGGGAGAGAGAGAGGGGAGGGGGAGAGAGAGGGGGAGAGAGGGAGGGGGGGGGAGGGAGGGGGGGGAGAGAGAAGGGATGGGGGAGAGAGAAGAGAGAGATGGGGGAAGGAACCCACCAAACCCAGTTTTTCTCCACGCGCAGCTCAATAAGAACCGCCCGATTGGATGTTTGGGCGCGTCTCTAATTCATTAAAAATCACATTTAAATCTGCAAAATGTACCCCCCCAACATCTCCCCCCACACACACACACACACCCTCACCCACATACAAAAACTGGATAATTGGCAGTGAGAAACTACTGTATTTGTGATAAAACATTGCATTTGATGAGACCTCTGGAATGCGTCTCTTCTGGAGGATGAGAAGTTGAATGTCAACTTGACCGAGGCCCTTCTGCTTGGCTTCTGTCAACGCCTCTATACCTCGGGGCTGACAGCATCATCACCCTTCATGGATGCACTCTTCACCTCACGGAGCAAATGCGGAAACTCAGTGTCCTATTCGACCCTCAACTATCCTTCATCTGCCAAATCCATGCCATGACCCGCTCCGCCTTTCCCACCCCCGCAACATTGCCTGGCTCCACCATAGTCTTCTTACCGCAGGCTGCCGAGACCCTCATCCACTTATTCATCATATCCCAGGCACAACTACACAAATTCCCTGCTTGTTGGCCTCCCCAACTCCACTCTCCACAGGCTGCATATCGATCATCCTGAACTTTGCAGCCCGTGTCTTCCCACACCAAGATCCACAACCCTATCACCCACATCTTCGCCCAGTTCCACTGGCTCCCCATCACTCAGGGGATAAAGTTCAAGATCCTGATCCTCACCTTCAAGGCTCTTCCTTACCTCTGTAACCTCCTTACCCCCCACCATTGAAGGTTCATTCCTCTACTTAGTGTTCAGGCCTGCTTCATGTCCCGCTACCTTCAGCCTCTCTGCCCACTCTCCGGAACTCCAGAACAAAGATCCTCTTTGACTGTGCCTTCGGTAACCCTCCTACCCCCCTGTACTGATCCCAACCACCAGCTCGTGTGTGGATCCCTGATTGTCCAGCGCCTTGGAATGTCCTCCTGATGTGAAAGACGCTTTACAAATGTTATTTGTTGTTGTCTCAAAATGGACTAAAATTTAGTCATTCTGTATTTAGTGGGCAAACAGCAGCTAATTTGCAACAGCAATCTCCCACAAACAGCCACAGTGTAAATGACGAGTTTTATCTGGGGAATTGTTGGGCAGGACATCAGGAGAAACTCCTTTCTCTTGGGAGTAGTGCCATGGGATCTTTAGCTTCCAGCTGAACAGGTAGGTGGGAAGTCAGTTTGACATTTCATCCGAAAGACAGCACCTCTCAATGCAACATATCCCTAACACTTGAACTGAAGTGTTAACCTGGCAGAGTAACAAAGTCCTGACCTTGAGCTTGCATGCAGCACAATGCTCTGAATAACAAGCTCTATAGTTTTAGTTGGTTAGACTCTAGCAGGGCCCCAACACACACACTGGTTCCCAAGACTTGCCTCTTACCAACCTGCACTTAAAACTCGGAAGTAGGTGAGCAGGATGCATCTCTCCAGGGAGAGAGGGCGCATTCTTGGCACAGGGAAACTTTAATGTGCTGCATACAAGCTATACTTGCTTACCTCCACCCAAGAAACCAAATAGTTACAGAATCTACCAAGGCAAATCCCAACAGCTCTGTGTTTTCCAATTGGTTTGGAAATGAGTTTCAGCTCAAAGGTTTTCACATCAACATCTAAGGAAAATATTTTCAGAAATGACACTGTATCCTTGCAGCAAGTAATCAACCCAGAGATGTGAATGTTGTAGATATTGTCAGTTCTTCGATTAAGTGCTGAGCTGAGTTCAGCTCTCATTCCAGTTACAGACCTGCTGCAATTGACCTCAGCATGTTCCAAGTAAATATCAGCCAGGGTTCTCATTCCAATGTCCAGCAATGATAGAATCTGGTTTGGAAATGGTGCTCTGTGGTTGAATCACCTGACGACACTTGCTCATAGCTCAGAGATTAACAAAGACCACTTGGACAAGGTACCAGAAGTTGCCCAAACATCCAGGGAACCGTATATTACAAAAGGGCAGGACAATGAGATGAAAGGAGGGGAAAGAAAATAGTTCAAATAGATCAAAAACAACTTGAATTTTAATATGCCACTTACATCAAAAATGTCTCAGAATTTAACAGAATTACTCAGCACTGAACAGGAGCTGTAATAAGGTGCTTGTGTTTTAGGGATTGGCATCATACAAAATAAAAAATTTGCATCTTTATCAATGATTGCTATTGTGCTTAGCAACCGTTTGTTGGTAAATGCACCATCCATTTTGCAGAGCAAAGTCCTACAAACAGCCATGATGTGAATAACCATCTGGGACACCAGGGGAAAATTCCTGTTTTCCAATAATACAAGCTTTGACGTTGAGCTGAACAGGGTTTATGCTCTGCAGATCAACTCCTTCAAGTTAATTGAAAAAGTACCTGCTTGAGAAACATTTTGAGGGTTTAAGCAAAACTACATACTGAAATTTAATTTTCCACTGGATGTAATTTCTGTTCTGATGTGCCCAGATATAGGAATGTCTGTAGGAGAGGCAGATTACTGTGGTAGAAACAGATGTTCAGAAGCTTTTAATTGATTTGCTGGGAGTGCTCAAAGAAAAATTTGTGCAAGAGATAAAGTGCAACCGATCCATTTCCAGTGGTGTTGATAACTTTTCTCATTTCATGCGCTCTGTTCTTTGAAACATAAGAATTTGGATCATTGCATGTATTAAATTTAAGGGCAAAATGTCATCCAAAAGAGACCCGGAGTTCCAATCTTAATCTAGATGAATGGGAACCAGTTAGTAGGAGTCAGCACTTGGCTGAAAGTTATCTGAGTAAGACTGTTAAATGAAGGTCTGTATCGATTGTCACTGCAGCCTGGGGTACAGAAAGTGGATCTGCATTATTATGGAGAAAGCCTGGAGAAACAAAGGTGAGCATTCACAGAGTGGAAAATTTTACTCTTAGAGCAGCAAGCAGTGAATGAAGAGTTGTTCATACTCTGCCTCAGGCGGCACAGTAAAGCTCAAATGTTCAAATATGAATGTCATCCAGTTCCCATCACTTAAAGGCATACATAACAAATATCCTTCATCAAGCTTTCAAAGTGGCCCTTTCCCAGCCACTTTGAGAATAGGGAAATCTAGGGCAATTCTCTCATTACCCATAAAAATTCAATGTGCATCACAATAATTAACTTTTTCTTTGGAAGAGCTGATGTTGTAAAATGGGGATTTGCTGTGGATTACTAAAGTCTTAATCTAAAGGCTTGCTTTTAGCACAGGATATACTGTAAAGTGTTTTGACAGAGGGCAAAGTGCACCAAGAAACCCAGCCTCTCTGCATTTTTCAATGTTAATAGTGTTTTCATTTACATACAATATTTTGTTAGTGCGTGACTATGTATCTAAAGGCATTGAAAATTTCAGCCAAAACATCAAAAGATAATTGGGTGCAGTCTGTTCACGTGGTGGCAGTTCCACTGGTGTTTTGCACCAGTTGCTTTCAAAGTATAGCAAAGGAAATGAAAAACCTTCAGGAATAAATAATAATCCTTGCATTTGATATAATGCCTTATCACGTATTTAAGAAGTCTCAAGCACTTCACAGAATATACTAAGTGTAGTGATTATATTTTTGTGGGCAAAACACGGCAGCCATTTGCACACAGCAGGATCCCACAAATAGTAATGGATTGAGTGACCAGATTATTATTACAGAGCTTGACACAATTATCAAAATTAATTATTGTAAGTCCATGGAAACTATATTTTTACTTTTTTTTTTAAATCAGCTATGTCAGACACATGTGGAAACCAATCACCGTGTTTAAGAGTATCCAAACCAAATTGAGAATTCCACGTACCCATCTACACATGTTAATTCCAGATAGATTGTTGGAATGCACTCTCTCTCCCTGGAGGTACACATCCTGCTTACCTAATTCTGGAAAGTATTAATAATAATAATAATCCTTGCATTTGATATAGCGCTTCACAGAACACACTGTAAAGTGAATTGATTGTATATTTGTGGGCAAACGCGGCAGCCAATTGCACACAGCAATGTCCCACAAACAGTTGTAGATTGAAAATGACCAATTTATTATTGTTTTGTTTTGGAAGGATTATTATTAGGCTCTGTGTGGAGTAAAGAAACTTGCCCAAGGTTTCGCCCTCTGCCTGGAATTGAACTCAGGTCTCTCGCTTGCAAAGCGAGTGTTCTAACCACTGAGCTGCAGGACTCCACTTAGGTGCAGGTTGGCAAGAGCTAAGACTTGGGGACCCCAGACTGTAGTTGGAGTAACTTCTGGAGTCTAACCAGCTAAAACTGCATAGCTTGCCGTTAGCTGCTGCTTGTCCAGCTAGGACCTCCCTATCTGTGAGGGGGTTTGGCTTGAAGGGTCCACATGAGCTGAGGGGAAGATTCCCTGCCCCCAGAAACTGTTCCAATTGATTTTATTGAAAAATGCATTCATCTTTTACTTTCTACTTCCATATGGTCAAGATGACATTAGTGGAATTTGGTTTCAAGGTACTGCATGCACAATCAGGTGACTGAAACTCAGGAGATTTTCTGCATGAATGTTCGTCTTTTATCCCTGTTACACACTATGACTCCACTCTGCATGCATAAAGACTTACCAGTACTTTCATCTCCATTGCATGACATTTTGGCATCTTACATCTGAAGGCCCGACAATTCTCAAGTAGACAATTCTTATGTAGAGACATTGCAATACAGAACAAGTCGTTCGTTCAATGTTTTCCTTCTCCCAGCAAGGTGTTTCGGTAGCATGAAACAGTCATGGCTGGCTTCCATTTTTTTTTAAGAATAGTTACTGGAAAAGGAGCAAGCCATTAGGCTTCTGCTCTGCTGCTAAACTCTAATCGCATTTTCTGTTTTTTTTTTCCAAATCCCACAATACTCCTCCTAAGTCTTTCTTTCTTGAATGTTTCAATCATTTCATAATTCAATTTTTTATTTTTAATCGATTGGCGGATCGCTTTTCCAGTCGTAATAATCCCTTCAAAAAAAAATTCAGTCACTCAATCAATTACTGTTTGTGCGACTCTGCTATGCGCAATTGGCTGCCGCAAAATATACAGTAAATTCTGTGAAGCGCTTTGAGATGTCTCAAAGACGTGATAAGGCACTACATCAAATGCAAGGATTATTATTATTTACTTTTTACTTGTGTCTGGAGAACTCGGTTCCATTTTCTGGAGTTCCTCCATGGCTTGTCTCTCAATTTTTTAAGTTGTATCCAAAAGAAAGTTTGGGATTTGATCTCATCCTTCCAGAATATCCTCCCATCACATCTTCAGGCTATTTATAATCAGTCAAGTGAGCTGGCCAAAATCACTTAATCACCGTTCCAGTGGTTAATTACTCTTTGGGTAAAGAATTACTTCCTTGTGTCGGTTCTGAAACATAAATCTATGCAACCTTAAATATCCTCTTGTTCTGCTGTCTCAGAGTATAGAATATTGGTGTGGATTTCTCACTACTATTTAAAATCTGGTTTACTCTTTCAGGTCCCTTGAGACAATTGCTTTAAAAAATGAAGAGCATTGTCTAATTGTTCATAGTTCATTCCTCAAAAACACTGACATCTTCCTCATCGGTTTCATTTAGTCTCTCCAATGATATCTCGCTCCCACCCTTCTCCTTACAGCTTAGTTACCTGCAGAGTATCTCAGGACTCTATTCTTGGTCATCTCCTTTTCCCCATCCATGAGCTCCATCTTCGTGACATAATCCACACACACAGTTATTTTTTACATGCATGCAGTCAACACCCAAATCTACTTTTCCCACTTCTCTAAATTCCAGGTCCATGAATTTTCTGCCTGCCTGGCAGTCAGACATCAAGGCCTGGATGAGCCTCAATTTCTTGCAGCTTAACATGGACAAGATGGAAGCCATCCTCCTCTGTTCCCACCCAATGTTTGCTCAATTGTATCTCTGATCCAAACTTCACTGAAGCATTCCAATCTCTGACTACGACTGCTTTTCTTTATTGCCTTACACCAAATGTTGCTAAAGCTCTTCAGATCTTTGTTACGTTCCAACTTGACTTTGAAAACACACTCCTTGCTGATCTCCCTTGCTCCAGCTTCTCCTGCTGGCCACTTCTGCTTGGCAAACTCAGGCCTGCTGTACCATTGGGGTGGCCAAGCCTTCAGCAACATCCTCCTGACCTCTGGAACTTTGCCACCCCCCCCCCCCCCCCACTCCCACCCCTCATTCGTCTTTAAATCTCACCTAAAAACTAACATCTGCAACCATGGCTCTGGTCACTTCCACTGTCTCTTCCCTGCTCAGCTTCTGGTCCCATCACTGAAGCATTTTGAGACATTATCAGATATAGAAGGCACTTTTAAATGCGCAATGTTGTTGCTCTCCTATAAACTGTCTCTGGGCCTTGGCAGTCCCTAATGTCACAACAACCAGAATGATTTGAATTAAATACAGCGTGGTCTGATCAGAGGACAATGCAATGGGGGATCTTGACAACTGATTTGGCAATATAACACAGTTTGTTGCTTCCTCATGCAGTTTTCAGTGAGCAATGAATCAACTAAGATTACTTTCAGCTTTCTCGTAAGCAGGTTCTAGCCCACCCAGTCTTTTGGCATTCTTGCTTTTTGTAGGATATTGCATTTATCTACATTAAATTTCCATTTTCAGTCATCAGCCCATGTGCATATATCCTATGAAGTTCTGTGAAGCTGTAAAACCTTTGCATTCTTCTCAGACTGCATAGTTCTTCCCAACTTGTTTTCTGAAAATTTAACCAACATACCCCCTTGAATGTTGTGCAAATGACTAACCGGTAATTAATGCATACAAGGAACAGGAGTTGGTTCTAATTCAGACCCCTGAAGCACTGCATTGAATACTTCTCTCCATTTTGTTAGCTCTTGAAAGAATGATCCTTTGCTTCCTTCCCTTCTGCCAATTTAAAATATCTTGCCCAAGTCTTGCTTGATACCTTGACACAGTTTGTTAAGTTCAAATAAGAAACTATATCCCAGTCAATCTGAGAAGGTCACCTCTTCAAAAATAAACTTTTTTTAAAGATGTGCCTCATATAATCTTCCATTTCCTTTCTGGTGATTGCTTCGATTATGTGGAAGCTTGTAGTTTAGGGATTAGAGCACTCGCCTCGCAAGAGAGAGGACCGAGGTTCGATTCCTGAGCAGAGAGAAACGTTGGGCGTTTTCTTACTCCACACACCTCTGTTTACCTAGCAGTAAGTAGGAACCTGGTTGTTAGGTCGATTGGCGGATTGCTGTTTTGGGGGTGATCATCCCATCAAAAAAAAATTTGGTGACTTAATCCACGACTGTTTGTGGGACCCTGCTGTATGGACTTGGCTGCCACTTATCGCCCACAAAATATACAGTGAATTCACCTCGTATATTCTGTGAAATGCTTTCAGACATCTTGAAAACGTGATAAGCTGCTATCAAATGCAAGGATTATTATTATTTTTCCATTATTATTATGATTATTGGTGTAAAGCAAATGGAATTCCCAGGTTTACTGGTCTTGTTAAGCGCTCTGGGACGCTGCCCTGCATGAGGGACGCTATATAAGTCCAAGTTGTTGTTGTTGTTGGCTTGGACAAGTGACCATCATCACTTGCTTCTGAGACAACTAAACGGACAGAAACGTGTACACTGCACCCTGGCACTGATGGAGAACCATCCGGATGAGTCACAGGGACAGGTTACAGCTCTTCAATAATTTCAGTAGGTCTATCTGTGGTTTTGCAGCCATCCAAAGTGATACTTTAACTAGCGGAACCCAAAATTGGCCACTTGCGCAACATTCAAGGGGAAGCTGAAGAAACACAAGGTCACGCAATTAAAAATGTACACAATGTTCATTAAGTTTTTTATTTTGAAAGATAAAATGTTGCTTCAGCATTAATGTCAAGGAACCAAGGGCAAGTCTTGGACATAGGTTCTATATGGACGAAAGGAAAGGAAGCAAAGTATTATTGTTTGAAGTGCTAAACAAAAATGGAAGTAAGTATTCAACAAAGTACCTCCAACAGTTTGATACTGAATCTGTAATGGCAAGGAGAATTTGTTTGGATTGGGTGTCCAAATGGACGTGAACTGTTATTCTATCTGTATGACTGTTCGAATAAAAGGATTGGTCAGCATCATAAATGGTGACCAGTGGACATAATCTGTGGAGAGGACAGTTAGGTCTATGGTCACAGGTTTTGTTTTTGTTTTAGCCTTTCACAAAGCTGTTGATATTGTCCATATATGTGTTTTTCGAGATCAGTTTCAACTTATTTTGAGTCTTAGCCTGTTCATAAGAGACAAGGCATCAATTTTACCCATACAAAACAGCAAAGTCTTGGGGTAATTTACAGGTTTAAACTTAAGATTTTCTACATTCATGGAATATCTTCCTTCCAAGAATTTTTTGTTGTTCATGAACCATAAATTCTGATTTTCTTACAACAGGGCAAAAATTAACAAAACATGGGAGCCCAGGTTTATGTAAACAGCATGGTGGAGCTGTGTTTGGCACCATGTCCATTCTCAAAATCTCGGAATATCTTTTGAAATTCCTGATCCTACAATGGGTGGATGCTTCTGAAAATGAACTTGTTCATCTATTGGAAGAATAACATTGTATGAATAATATTTATTTTTTGCCAATTTTTCGGGATCAGCTACAGCATGACCTGAGAATCCAAAGCTTATTTTGAGATTCTTATCCTGTTTATAACAGACATTTAGTCCAGACAATGAGTGCCAGATGGCTACTTAGAGATGGAGGGGAACATAATCCAGTCTGATCCTCCCATCATATGATGCCCCACAAGTGTAGCTTCCAGCAGAGTGAATACCACTCAAGAAGGGAAGCCTTACCTGATTTTCCCTTCTCCAGTCCAGAGGGAACTGAGCTCAATTGTGGCAGCATCTGAATTCAGCTGCTCTCTGGGATTAAAACTTGTGACATGTCGTCTCTAGATTTTGTAGAATGGAGTTTTGTTTTAACAAAACAAAGATTAAACAACTCCCCTTATATACCCCAACAGTTTCAACTCCTCTTCAAAATCTTTGCTTTGAACAGAGGTGGGAAGTATGTCCATTTCTCCTTTCCTCGAATGTACATGCAAATAAAACACACAAATAAATAGGAAAAACACCAGTCATTATGGTTGCTGTATTAGGGCGTTTTAACTTGCTACAATCGATAACCCTTGACTCGGGTACAGAGACTACAGCCGGAAACACATTACATACACAATAGCTCTTTATCTCCTCCCCACTGAGTTTGCTTTAAAAAAAACAAAATAAGTGATAAATAGACCAGAAAAAAATCTACAAAAAGTCTAAAAAGCCTAATATCTTACAGCAAAATCTGCATAAATACATACAACTGGACAAAGAAGAAGATTTTTTCCCTGTTGTTTCGGCTAGGTCCCAAGGCATAATTGGTGCATATACTCCATAAGATGTCATCTCATCTGTGCACGCTATTAAGAGGTATTACTGTTCCCTTGTTCAACAAGGAAAGTCTGTAAAGAAATGCTATCGTGCTGTGCAGTCAAATTGTTCTTTGCTCAATCCAAGGCAGACTCCACGAAGTGGAGAAAGGTCAATCCAATCTCAACAAAGACATAGTAAAGTTATTGATGGAAAATCTGATAACACCTGACAGACACTCCTGCATTTTTAAACTCAACTCTTCAGTTGAAGACTTGAAAGACATTGAAAATGTTTCAGAAAACTAAAGGTTCAACAAAAAGGTGTAAGCAAGTCTCAATACATTTTAAAAACATCTTTAAACCAAAAGAAGCAACAGGTTTAAAATATTTGGAAATGATTAACTGATGTGAATGCACGTTGAAATGCACTGCTGTATATTATGAGGTAATGCTGTGTCTTTAAAGAGTCCACAACATGAATTTCTTGGTGAAACTGTTCAAAGACCAGTTGAGAAAGACCTGAAAATTCACATTAGTGACTGACAAAAATTGACATATTCAAGCCTGAATCAAAACACATCAGTATTTAGGTCATGAGAACCAATGTGTAGACCCAACTGCAGTGTTGGAAAGGTGGGCAAGTTCTCTAGCAGGTGGCGAGACTCTTAACAGTGACAAACCAAGGTGTCACATTGATCAAACTTTGACTGACAGGTCACATCCTGCCAGTTACTTTCTCCCAGTGTGATTTCATCTTAACTCTTCCCCATCATCTCCACTGCAAGATGAGAACACCAAGTGCTGGCCATTAACAGGAGGATTCTTGACACAGGAGTCACAAAAATGCTGACTGCTGTTCTGCTAAATCATCAATCAGATCTTACTCATTTTTTAAAAACTTTTAACCGCATTTCAAATTCAGACTGTAAAAGAATATAGGAGGAAAGATTTAAATAATAAGCTTTGAGCTGAGGGCTAGACCAGCAGGGAATCAAACTTTTTTTTAAGTGAGGATGCTTCTGTGCTTCTGACTTGATGCATTAGGGCAGAAAAGAAAAAACATAGCTCCGAGAGGGATGCATCGATGATAAATGCTGTTGCATATCCTTCAAACCCATTCACTGTTGATGCCAACACCATTCTGAGGGGATTACTTTTGTCTCTTTTGCAGAACTTCGGAGAAACTCCCTGGCCCTATATCTGCACATCCCTACTCTTAACTGTGCAATTTGTACATCAGTCTTAAAAATGCAGGGTGAGGCAAAGATGTAATAGACTTCTTACATAGTACTGTCAAATTTAACCCCAACACTGCTCCTGTTTAAGCTGATAGATTGACAGTACTTTCCATCAAAGCCAGCAATGCAAGACTAGCTGCTTTCTTTTGAATCCTCTGAGAAAGATCTACCAGACTGTGGTACGAGATGCAGTACTTGTGCAGCTTTTCCAATGCCCTGAGCGACTCGCTTGGTGCAGTTAATGCAGATGTAATCTTCATTTTCTGCCATTTCAGACGAAACACCCACGCAGACTTGATGGAACCACTCATCACAGCCTCCATCACACTGCACCCAGTCAACCTGCAGCAAACAACCACAAGAAGTTATTAACATTGCGCTTATTAACAACATTCACTGTTCATGCCAACACCATTCTGTGAGGGGATTACGTTTGTCTCTTTTGCAGAACTTCGGGGAAACTCTTTTGGAGCAGAATTATTTCTGCGAGAATACACAAGTCCAACATGTGCTGCATTGCTGAGCTATTCAGATCAAGGAGAACCTCTATTCCTCTATGAATCGGTTAGAAGATTGTAGTGCATGTAACAATTGACCCTGTGATGCCCTTCGTTATGTTGTGATCGTGGGCGGGGAAGGAACAAAGTCAGCCAATATTCTCTTCCTTGTCATCAGATGACAGATTTAAGGTCAATTAAGACATCCATGTGAGTTCTTACATTTCACACTCCCAATTGAATAGCCTCTTTTGTGAGGTACTGGCGGGTGCCTGGTACTCAAGCATGAATCTATCCTCAAGTGATAAAAAGAATTGTGGGGTGGGAAGTGAAGAGTTACAGAGAAAGAGCCCACTATGAAGTACAGTTTCTTATATACTTCAATAAAAAATTTAATTGTAAAAATACAGGGCATAAGACGTAGTGAAAAATCCTGTGATTTAGTCGTAAAGGATGAACTGATGTGAAACAAATTCTGCTCCTTGTCATCTTCACCGTTTTCCACTGAGACTTTTTATGTGAACAGTCTCAATAATTGATGTCTCCTCAGGGCTTTCACAAATGATCACCCTGCCAGAAGGAAACATGTTGCTTTTTGAGAGGATTTTGTGAGAAAGAGAAACCAAGCTCGATACGTTGCCAGTTCATATCAATAGAAAACAGGGCCACTGTATTAACGTAGGTCAGGTGAATTACATTTGAGGGACATGCTGGCTCAGAGCTCAGCCAGCCGTCTTAAGCGCTTAAAGACGTCTTCCCAACATGTAAGGCCGCTTTATAAATGTATATTGTATTGTAAAATCCTGTCATACAGCACAACCACAAGGATTATTCTCAACAGCCATGAGACAAATAACCAATTTATCTAGAGGATTATTGGCTAGGAGACCGTAAGAAACTCTCTTCTCTTTCCAATTTTGTCAAAGGATCTTTAACTTGCACCTGATCATACAGATGGGATTGTCATCTTTTCTAAAAAATAGTACCTGACAAAGCAGGGTGTGTTAGAGTGTCAGGCTGGCCTATGACCTCAAGTTCTGACTTCCCCACAATTTTGTTGCCCCAGAAAGCTATGAGGGTATATGGAGCTATTAGTTTCACTTCCTGTTCTACTAAGTTCTGGATTTCACCTATAGTATACAGTGAGGGCTGAGCAGGGACAGTCTATCACTGCCATCTCCCACTGTCTCCACTTTGTTGTCACTAACGGCTTCTCCTCCAGCCCCCGCACCATCACATGTGGCGACCCTCAGGGCTCTGTCCTTGGCACTCTACATCTCAAGGAGCCAATACGGAATCTCGGAATCCTGTCCAACCCCCACCTGTCCGTCATACCCCACATTCGTGCCATAATCCGCCTTTCCCCACCACCGCAACATCGCCTGGCTCCACCACTGTCTCACACCGCAGCTGCCGAGTCACTCATGAACGCATTCATAACATCCAGGCTCGACTACCCAAACTCCCTACTTGTCGGTCTCCCCAACTCCTCCCTCCGTAGGCTACAGATCATCCAGACCTCTGCAGCCTGTGGCTTCCCCCGCACCAGGCTCCGTGATCCTATCACGCCCATCCTTGCCCGACTCCACTGGCTTCCCATTGCACAGAGGATACAGTTCAAGATCCTGGTCCTCACTTTCAAAGCCCTCCATGGCCTTGCTCCCCCCTACCTCTGTGACTTCCTAAACTTCTACCAACCTATTATTATTATTATTATTAACCTGCACCCTCCACTCAGCAGGCTCCGCCTGCTTCACGTTCCACGCCTCGCCCTCCCCACCATTGGCCGCTAGGGCTTCAGCTACTCTGCTCCCATCCTCTGGAACTCCATTCTGCAGTCCCTCTGCCTCGTCTCCTCCCTTGCCTCCTTCAAGACCTGCCTCAAGACCCTCCTCTTCGACCGTGCCTTCGGTCACTCTCCTCACCCCCCTGCCCTGCACCCTCCCGACCCCCAGCTCGGGTCTGAAGCACTGATTGTCCAGCGCCTTGGGACGTCCTCCTGATGTGAAAGGCGCTATACAAATGTACTTTTGTTTTTGTTGGGAAAGGAAAGAAGAAAATGGATTTACTGCCTGATGAGCTTATGTGAAATCTTGGCCTATGATCTGAAGACACTGGAAAAATATTTTTTATAAACTGAGCCACATTATGCAAAAATCATTTTAGTTCCTGGATTAATTTTATTGTATTGCTCATTTCATCAGTCTGCATGCTAATTAGAATGATAGAATGCATCATTGTATGCAGTTGAAAATGCTGTGCTACCAGCCATATTCCCAATCCATGAGTGTTTGTGGGACACTGCTGTGCACAATTGGCTGCAGCATTTCACCAACAAAATATACAGTCAATTCACTTTATAGGATATTCTCTGAAGTGCTTTGACATGTCTCAACAACATAATAAGGCGCTATCTCAAATGCAAGGTTTATTATTATTATTAACTAGACAGTGCTGCATGCTTTCCAGTGACAAGAATAACATAAGCAGTGATAAAATGTTGGAAATATGTGCATCATTGTTAACTTATTCTTTTCCCTTCAGGGGCTGATGAACATGCTGCGACATCAGCTGTGGCTTGGAGCACACGTACCATGCTCTCTCCTGTTTATGTCACACATGGTGAGCACAAGTTGTGCATCTTCCATTTTGGAATGTAACACGAGAAGCGCTATCAAAACAATCACAGTATCATCAAAACAATCACAGAGCATATAAGTCGCACAGATGATTTCCAACGACAAGATCATCAATATTATACCCACTGGTACACAGATGTCTGTCCAGGTTGACATTTTTGATGGTCAATTGGAATTTTAATGCCCATTGGATATGTGGTAAGAAACCAATCAACTACCAAAAACCACATGATACACACATGATGGAAAAAATGCCATTTTCTGCATAATAAGCAAAAATGTAAAAAGTGTTTATATGAAAAAGGCATCTGCTATATTACAATAACATGATTTTTCCAACATGTGTTCGCTATTTATTGTTCAGCTGCAAGTTAAATCTCATATATGTATTTAAACATTCAACAACAATAACCTGAATTTATATAGTGTTCTTCACATAACGTCTCGGGGTGCTGTAAAGATACTAACCAATTTGACAATAATAAGCATGGATTTGTAATTGGATTTCAAAATATAGGACTGTGTAGGTGCTGCTTTTTTTCCAACCTCCTTCAGTCAGATTCTAGCCAAAGAAATTCCAGAGGAAGAACTTCCAGAATTTGACATTTCCAATTTTGGTTACAAATCATGCCACAGCCTTAAATGTTCAAAATAATCCAAAAGCACTGGACTGTAGTGTACTAAAATCCTGGACTGCAGAAAATGCTACTATCACAATAACCAGCTGGTTGACCTATCGATAAGCTCAAGCACTGAATAAATTAGCAGAGCAGGTTGATCTGTACAATCTAGATTGTAAAAAGAACGCTTCATGAATTGCCAGTACCAGAAAACTTAAAGAGATTGTGTCATGAAATATTTTTTGCATGCAAAGGCAATTGAACAACTGAGAAAGAAAAAAACACTTGCATTTTTAATAGCCTTACCACAACAAAATGATCACATAGGAATTATATGTACTGACCCTTTTTTGTCTCGAGCAGTCACTCACATAAAGAAATTGGCTGAATGGCTCTCATATCATACATTCTACGATTCTATGTTGCCAAGTCCTACAAACATGCATGAGATGAATATCCAATTAATCTGAAGGACTGTTACCCACATCACCAGGAGAACCCTCCTTCTCTTTTTCAACACGGTGATGGGATCTTCAACGCCCACTTGAGGAACCGACGGGACCTCGGTTTAACCCATAACCTTCTGAACCAAGAGTGCAAATGCGACCAAAGGAGCCAAGCTGACTGAAAAGTAGAAACACAACTTCTATAGTTCCTTGTCGCACATTCAACAGTAGAATTTACGCTCACCTCCTCTCCACAGGGTCTTTGACAGTTTATTGCAGCACAAACGGCATTCTCATCCTCAGAATCCTCTGCTCCAGACCAGTCCTCCTTGGATGGCAAAATAACTTTCTTCTCTTTCTTCTTTTCTACAATTTTCTCAGCAATATCTTTGGATTTTTCTTTCTCTTTCTTTTTCTTCTCTTTTTCCTCTTTCACAAGCTTCTTCACTAGTTTGCCTGGTTCTTTCATCTTTTCAGAGTTCAGTTTTAGCTTCTTCTTTTTCGGCTTGTCAAGCTTTTTCAGTTCTTTGAACTTTTGCTTCCCCTCCCCAAAGAACAGTTCTGATTTTTCTAGTTTCCTCTTTCTCTTTTTCTCAGAAGAATCCTTCACTTTAGTCTTGACAGACTTCTCCTCTAGGCCATCATCCTGAAATAAAGGAGTAATATAATATTTATTTCCTGACCATTCAAATGTGTGTAGTATCTAAATTACAAAAAGGAAAAACATACTTTACATGCATGACCACAACAATAATTGGACAGGATAGTTTCACGGGACTGTCTGGTTCTATCTTCCAGGAATGGCCAACTTGCTGCCCATGGGCCGCAATCATGGAACACATCGTCTTCATGCAAACCAGTGCACCTAATGTTCACCTTCAAATTGCACAAGCCAAGTGCAGCATTTCACAGATGAAAAGGTTAAGTTTTACTTATGTTAAGAAATACAAAAACCTTTTCGAGTTCAAACACAGCCACTGTTTGCAACCAGAGTGGTGTTTATTAAACTCCAGGACCCGTCCAAGTTCCCGAGGGGCGTGGGCAAGTAAGCACAATTAATCAATTCACTAACAGAACAATACTACCGCATAATCCCTCCTCGTGGACGTCTACTTCTGACTTCTAGCTCTCAGTCTTCCATCCAGGATAGGTACTGTCCTGGGCGCGCTGATCTTGGTCTGGCACGGTGTCTTAAGCTTGTGTCCATCCAATCATGGTGCGGACATTAGATCACCTGGCCAAAATCATGCTGGGTTCACGTGAACACCTCGGGGGGTACGTGCCTCAGCACACACACACACATTGTCCTTAATTGTCTAAGATAGAGGATTGATCAGTTTAGGGCTGTATCTGGTACTCATTATTTTGTGGTGTGGGATCATTAATACATTCCTTTTAAGTGACTGGTTATTCCTTATCAGTATCCCGGGATGGTACCAAGGTCCTCTAGTTTAAGCAACTTGCTCATTAGTTGCTATTCTTGAGGGTTGCCTTTTGTTGCTTGGCAGGCCCTTTCAGAATCGAGCGACTTATTTCTCAGTCGAGATCCTGTGTCAACTGGTACCTTGGACCGTTACCTCTGTGGCTTGTTGTCATTTACTGATAAGTGGTGACCCCCTGCCCCTGTCCGTTATTCTTTCAAAAACAGAGAAAACCAGATATGTCCTATCCCATGAGTGTCAGTCCAGTTGTCCCCCACACTTAACTTAAAGGTTAACCCGTTCGCAACATCTATTATGATTCTAACATTATACAAAAAGTGTAAATTCTAACACTTACAATTGAGGAATTTTAAATAAATTGTTTCCTTTTGTATGGATGTTCCTTCATGGAAGAATAATTGTGCAGGGAATGGAAAGCTTGGTCATGTGTTGTTCAGGAGCACTTCCAAGGTTAAATATAAACACAATGTAACAGTGGCTTCTTCAACAGTGACAAGTTCAGATATTCACCCACAAAACACAGTTACTGCATTTTACAGTATATCATGTGAAGCACTTTGGGACATCCTCTCAGTGTGAAAGGTGCTATACTGAAAGTAAGGATTATTAATATTATGTATCTTGTAGTTCAGTTCAGTCCAATCAGCCTTTGTAAAAAGGAGGTGAACTGTCCAAACAGGGCAACAAGTCAATATAATAAAGCGTCTTGCAGCAACGGTGTGCTGTATTTGTCTTAATTAATCCCTGGGTGAATATACTTCAAATCCCCACTAGCCAATATTCAGTAACCTGCCAGTAAAGCACATTGTTGTGATGATTAATTAAGCATACAGAATCTAACATGCAACAGCCACATTTTCATTTCACCCAATATGCTTAAAGCTCCATTCCCATACACAATTTGCTCATTGAACTGCCTCGTCTCTCAGGAAAAGCTGATTTGTCTCCTCATAAACTTTTGCATGATGTTCAGTACAAGTAAAATTGCTCCCTAAAGATGAGGAATATTGTTGAAGATTATCCATCCTGGGGAGGACGGAGAAGAGAATGACGAAAAACAAATCCTTTTAAAATTTAATAGAATTATATATGAATGTATTGGGAGTCATCTTTCCCCTCTCCAGCCCACCTTAAGTCCCAAGCAAGACCGACAAGCACCTTGTGACTTTCTCCTGACTTGAAAGGGACTAAACATTAATTTATTTTTATTGTGCAGGTTGCTCCAAATTACTGCTTTCGACCTAAAGAGGCACATTTAGCTGCAGGGAAGTTAGGGAACTTTTATATCACCTGATAGCCTCTTACCAACCAGCCATTTGTTAATCATTCACATACTCGCATTCCTCTTGTTCTCTGAGCCACAAGCAATCAGAATTTTCAGAAGGTCACAGTTCCACAAATAAAATACGAGAGCATTCTCTCAGGAAATTATTGAACCACTGAAAACATTATTTACAGTTTGAGGTGAAAAGGGAAGAGCGATATTTGGAAAAGTTGGAGGGGGGGGGTGGCGGGGCAGAACAGCAGCTTGAACCTATTGCCACAAGTTGTGAACTTTACAACCACCTCCAAGATTTTGAGAAACCAAAGCTACCTGATGATTCTGCTTTAGGAAATGAAACAAGACCACCCTTTCATTTGCTCATCCCATTTTCCTCCCTTTCTTCATAACCCTCAGTACCATAACTTCTCAATAATCTTCCTCCCTCTCAAATACCCCAATCAATTCTCCATCGCTAGCATTCAGTGAAGTACAAAGAATTGTTTTCAGATCTCACTTCCAACTGATTGGTTTCTAATTTTAAGACCATCAACATCTTGTTTTTGGTACCCTCTTCAGTGCTCACTGTCAAGAACATGAGCACTAGCTGAGTTGTGTGGCACTCCAGTAGTGACCTCCCCACAAACCATCCTGCTCAGAAAACAACTGCTGTTTATTTAATCTGTCTTTTACATGTATTCCCATTTTTAAGGCACTCCATCTTTCTCCCCTCCTAATTCTGTTATTCAGCAACGTGAAGCACCTCATACATGGCACTTCAACATAGGTTTTGCTGAAAACTTGGGGAGCAAGGATTCTTAAACTCCATGAGCAACACTCTGGGGTCTCGAAGCCTTGGTTCTAGCTAATCTGTGCCTCATACGCTCCATAATTAGATAAGCAGGATACATCTTACAAAGATACAAAGAAAGTAGTAAGAGATGCAAAAAGAGAATATGAGAAAATACTTCCAAGGGATATCAAGGGCAACAGTAAAGGTTTTTATAAATATATTAAGAGAAAGAGAGTGGTAAAGGGGAATGTGGGCCTATTAAAGACAGATATAGGTGAGACTAATGGACAATAATGAAATGGCAGGCTTGCTGAATGCATACTTTGCTTCATTATCACAGTAGAAGAATAGGACAAAATACTAGCAGTACAAGGGAACCTAAAAATAAGCCAAAAAGTACTAAATGGATTTAATTGAATTTTTTTAAAAATAGTAATGGAGAAAATAATGGGACTAAAGATAGACAATCTCCAGGACCTGATAAGATTCCATTCCAGGGTATTAAAAGTAGAGGAGGACATTGCAGATGCGTTAGTTATAAGTTTCAAAAGCTCTCAATATTTGGGAATTTTGCCTTTGAATTGGAGAATTGCAATGTACTCCATTATTTAAGAAGTGAGGTAACTACAGACCTGTCAGTTAACTTTAGTTATGGGGAAAATACTGGAATCTCTCATCAGGGACAGAGTGACTGAGCACTTGGATAAGTCTGAGCTAAACAAAGAAAGTCAACATGGATTTCTGATGCTAGATCATGTCTGACAAATTTAATGAAATTTTTTAAGGAGGTCACTAACACGGTGGATAAAATAGTGTCTATGGATGTTGTCGTCTATATGGACTTCCAGAAGGCACTTGATAAGGTTCAGCACAAACTATTATCAACAAAAATAAAAGCGCATGGAATCGGAAGTAAACTTGCAATGTGGCTGATTGATTGCGAGGCAGGAAACATACTCTGATTGGCGGGATGTGACAAATGGTGTTCTGTACAGGGGCCTCAGCTTTCCACCATGTCTATACTAATAAAGATGAAGTGCTGTGTGTGTATCTGCCAATAATGTAATAACCGACTGACGTGGAGACATGATTTATACCTCAGCGGAAAGGTCTTGTGTGCAGGATTCTCATTGACATTTTTTTTCAGGGGATCTCCTACCATTGATGAGCTATATTTAAAAGATGCTTTAATTAAGTCCCAAAATATGAGGTATGCTGCAACAAAGTAGCAACAGAGGAAAGCAAACACCCTTCTAAAGAGGTACATCTATACTAATATATGGGTTATCATAGGAGCTACAGTCTCCCAACGAGAGTCCTCACAACCAGGAGTCCTCCCATTCAGTCCTCCCACAGGGGTCCTCCAAACAGGAGTCCTGCCAATAGCACATTTTCTTAAATTTAAGGGAAGATGTCTAAGAAGCAAAGATCAAGCCTTTCAAAGACAAATAAAAATGCAAGCCAAAAGAGAGAAGGCCGATTAAATGAAATTGAAGAACAAAGAATAGCACAGCTGGATTTCAATGCTGAAAGGACTGAACGAGCAAGGCAAAATGAATTGCTCTCTCAAAGAACAGCACGGCTGGACTTCAACCCAGAAATAATAATAATAATCTTTGCATTTGATATAGCGTTTTTTTACATCTTCTAGAAATCTCAAAGCGCTTCACAGAATATACTGTAGTGAATTAACTGTATATTTGTTGGCGAAATGCGGCAGCCAATTGCGCACAGCAGTGTCCCACAAACAGTCGTGGATTGAAGTGACCAATTTTTTTGATTTTTTTTTCTTGAGGGATTATTATGAGGCGTGTGCAGTAAGGAAACTTGCCCAAGGTTTTGCCCTGTCGGGAATTGAACCCAGGTCTATCACTTGTGAGGCAAATGCTCTAACCACTGAGCTACAGGACTCCTGAAAGGCATGCAAGAACATGGCAAAATTAATTAAAACTATGCAATGGCAAAAAGTTGGTGGTAAAGAAGTTGATGCCACATGTTATAGAAGTAACTATTCTGACTGATCAGTTCAAAGAGGAAGACATATTCATTCCTCGCATCGCACTGTTCCCAAGTGACTGCCTGTTGGAGTTCAAAAGGCTCCAACTGCCTGTTCGAATGTGCATTGCCATATCAATTAACAAGGCACAGGGGCAGAGCTTAAAGGCTGCTGGCATTTTGTTGAATACACCCTGCTTTTTCCATGGACAATTCTATGTTGGATGCTCCTGTGTGGGCTCATCTCAAAACATCATATTGGATCCTTTGGTTGCAAGCGAAGCTGAAACGCGTACAGCTTGTATATCTATCTTCTATCTTTATACATATACTAATAAAACGATAATGTCTATCTGCACTTCAAGAATGATCTCAATAGCCAATTGACGTAAGGACATGATTTATACCTCATCAGAAAGGTCTTGCATCTAGGACTGACATGGACATATTTGTTTTCAGGTATCTCCTATCCTTCATGAGTTTTTTTCAGTTTTGCATTTTTCGCTGCAGTTACACCTGGTGGCCGCCGAGTCAAAGTAGCATCATTCTTCACAGAGCACCTGCGTATATACGCACACACTGCAGTTACACCTGGTGGCCGCAGCGGCCATGATCTTACAGAGTGGAGGAACAGGTTCAAGGGGCTGGTTGACCTACTTTTGTCTCTATGTTTCCACATGCCTCCAGAGAGTAAGTTTGTATTCCATTCCAAACACAGAGAAATTGCAAGTGTGTAGTGGCATACATATGTGAAACTCTGCATTAAATACTCAGGCACAGTGCTCTATACGATCATGGCTGAACTGCAACTCAACTCCAATTACCCGCCCTTGCCCCGTATGCCTTGATACCCTGACCTAACAAATATCTATCCACCTCCACCTTAAAAATGTGAATAGATCCAGAATCCCACAGCATTTTGGGGGAGAGAGTTCCAGATATCCACTGCAATTTGGGTGAAAACTGCCTAGCTCTAATTTTAAGGGGCTGACCAAACCTTGTTTTTTGCTGAAAACCAAATATGTAGTACATTGAGTTGTCCAGATTTGCCAGGCCAGCTATTTCCTAGCTCTATGTCCTTTCAACAACAACAACTTGCATGTTTATAGCACATTTCATGTGTGGCAACGTCTTGGGAGCACTTAACAGTGGCGGAGCCTGACCCCAAGACGGGGGATGGAGGAGGTGACTGTAAGCACAGTCATGAGTAGGTCTTCAGTCATGATCTAAAAGAGAAGGGGACAAGGCGGAGGGATTGGGGGGCATAGTGGCTGAAAGCATGGCCGCCAATGGTGGAGAGGAGGGGACAAGGAACAAGGCCACAGCCATCTGAGCAGAGGCAGAGAAGTGGGGAGAAAGTAGGGCAGAAAGGTTGGGATGTGCCAAGGTGTGAAGGGATTTGTAGACGAGTTAAAGAATCTTAAAATTGACCCTTTCCTTCGAGAGTCAAGGAGTATGGCTTCCGTTTTGTTGAGGTTCAGCTGCTCATAGTTTGCGCTCATCCAGGCCTTGAGGTCTGACAGCCAAGCTGAGCTGAGTGACCAGGAACTGGGTGGAGTGGGACCGAGGCAGCAGGTGGTGGGCTTTGTGTTGGTGATGATGGTTGACAGAGGAAGATAGGACAGAAAAAAATGGTAGAAGGCGAGGAGGAGGGGGATGCAAGAGGAGAGGGAGATGAGGAAATGGTCAGATCGGAAATGTCAAGGCCGTGGTTAATAACAAGATGGAGGGGGTGGCCATGGCTGTGGGTGGGGAAGTGTATGTAGAGGGTGAGGTTTAGGGAGGAGAGCAGGGCAGCAAAATCAGAGGAGATGGGGCAGGAGGAGTTTAGGCGAAGGTTGAAGTCGCCCATTATGAGCAGGCGTTCAGTGCAGAAGGATGACAGGAAGGAGATGTCCAAAACGAAAGAGTCAGGTGGTTTGGGCAATAAATTAGGAGGATTTTGAAGAAGAGAAGGGAGGAATGGTACACGATGAGATGCTCAAAGGAGGGTAAGGAGCCAGAGGAATAGGTAGACTGAGAGAGGTTTAGGAGATGAGGGCTACCCCGCCGCCAAGTTGGTTAGGCGGGTTGTCCAGTGGAAGGTGTAGCCAAAGGAGGATAATAATCCCTCAAGAAAAAAATAAATTGGTCACTTCAATCCACAACTGTTTGTGTGCAATTGGCTGCTGCATTTCACCCACAAATATACAGTCAATTCACTTTACAGTATATTCTGTGAAGCGCTTTGAGACGTCTAGAAGATGCGAAAAGCGCTATATCAAATGCAAGGATTATTATTATTAGAGAGGAGGCTTTAATGAGATCTATGTCCTTTCATATAAAAAGGCTTTACTTCTCCTTTCTCCAGAATTACTTCCTTAAGATATGTACCAAAGGGTACTCAAATTCACTGGCTACCTTAAATATCCAAATCTACAATCAAGTGTCTCATTAATTTTCCTGCTCTTGCCACTTTTTCGGTTGCAATTTAAATTTCCTCAGCTTGATCCATGAAAAATCTCTGTGAATACAAAAGGATAAAAAATGACTTTCTGAAGAATACCTCAAATATCTGCAGGAACCTATCCTCTGCGGGTGGATGTGTGGCCTGGAGTATTCTCCAGATGTGTTGAGTCTCATCCAGGGATACTTCTAGAAGATCTCCTGCCATCATCAGTTCCTCCAGCTGAACCTTTGCATTGGGAGATAGCTCCAGTACAGGGGGTTCCAAGCTCCGGGGAACCAAAGGAGTCTTTCGTGGTTGTTTACGGGGAGGTCCTGAACCTTCGGGTGGTGGTGGGTGGAGAGAAAAGGGATAATGACACCATTTAGAGAACAGCAAATTACATTTGTAAAGCTCCTTTTATATCAGTAGAACATCCCAAGTTGCTGAACAGTCAACGATTTGCAATTGAGCTAGGAATTGTAATCAGCAGGGATGGAGGGCAGGAAGGTGACCGAAGGTGCAGTCAAAGAGGAAAGACTTGAGATGGGCCTTGAAGGAGGCAAGGGAGGGGACGAGGCGAAGGGACTGTGGGACGGAGTTCTAAAGGATGGCGATGGAAAGGCTGAAGGCCCAACTGCTGATAATGGGGCTGAATAGAGCAAGCCAGAGTCTGCTGAGCGGAAGGAGAGAACAGGTTGGTTTGGAGTTTGGAGAGGAGCAAGGCCTTGGAGGGCTTTGAAAGAGAGGACGAGGGTTTTGAACTCTATCTTCTGGGGGATGAGGAGTCAGTGGACCTAGGCAATGATGGGTTCACTGGCAAACTTTTTGAACTGCAATTTTCGAAGAGAAAAATGAAAACAAAGTAAGAAATAATTGTCCATCACTGAGAAAAAGATCAATACTGTTTGAACAATATATTGATGTCATGTCAGATATTAAATTGAAATGTCATTGGCTGGACCAATAGAAAATTGCAGAGAGATTTGGGAAATTGCGGGGATTTGTTGGTGTCATTGGGGTACATTTTACTGCCAACCTACATTTTTTTCACTTTATTAATAAAAACTAAACATGAGGAAATAACGCATATTAGAGTGTTGCAAAAAAAAAATTGCTTCTTTAACAAAAACTGGCTCACACTCACAGACACTCACAAAACAAACAGAAAAGACACATTCACACAGAATGATTTAACTGAACATACTCAGCAAAACTGAGCATGTTGGAGCAAGTGGATTTCTCACTTGAAAGTCAGGAAACTAAAGACAGAAGGAAAGTTTGTTGGGGCTGTGAGGCCAACCTTGTGAGCAGGATTTTGAGGCTGAGGAATAGGCATGCTCTGTACAGAATGAAGGAGCAGCTGGCCATACATGCGACACCACTTCCTCTGCTTTTATTGGTATTTCTTCATCACAGAACAGATTTGGCTCCAAACTTCCAGAAGAGACACTGCTCGCACCATCCTGTATAGTTTGAGTAAACGTAGAAAAGTTTAATATTTTTGAACAAGATTTGCCAGTTACTTATGAGACATGTGCAAAACCCAGAGAAATTGATAGTCAAGTGGAAAATTAGTTTTGGAAACTTCTTACTGAGTTCTGAGTTTTAAACAACTAGATATTACAATAAAAAAATTGCAGGTGCTTTCTTTGGCTCTACTCTTCTTTATGTCAACAGTGGCCTCTGGCAAGAGAGGGCTTGGAGGTTGCAAAGAAAATTACTGGGTGTCTGCTTACGGTTGAGTAAACAGAGTCGTGGGGAGTAAGGAAACTTGCCCAACGTTTCGCCCTACTGGGAATCGAACCTAGATCTCTCGCTTGCGAGGCCAGTGCTCTAACCATTGAGCTACAGGACTCCTGTATAAACGTAAGTTGCTGTTATTTTAAGTCTGGGCATTTTTGCATAAATTTAAATTTCCAGTTTGTTCAGCTTTTAGAATTGGAAGCAAATTCTTTAATTGGAAAAAGGAACTGGTGTGGTGCTGATGTATTTCTGTCCTTATTTTGTGGAGAGTGAAGAGCGATTTCTCAGTGCTGTTTTGTCGGCACAGGTCTAACCTAGATCATTTGCACACGTAATCAATGCACTCCACAGAATAAGCTCAGAAGGAGCAAAGCAAATGCAGTTGAAATTTATAGTAATTGAGAAAGGGATTTTTTGAGGGAATTCAAGAGATAAGATATGCAACTATAAATTCTGGGCTTCCTTGAGCCTCTGGTTTTAAACTATTCATCAACAATTCTCTCATGTTGTTATTCTTTACAACTGTCACACCCGTATCTGCTTTCAATGGACCCACAACCACTCGTTTCCCACCCACTTTTCCATTATTCATTTACAAAATGCGTTGCTGTTACCATTGATTCCATCTGCAAGATTTTTTCATAGCCATTCTCAGCTTTCCATATTATATTCTTTTGGTCTCTGTATTCCCCCCACTCTCCAGTTGTTGACTGTGCCTTGCTGTTTTGTAGCCCTGTTTCTTTTGTGAAATACTGATGGTAACAAATGTATTTGACCACACTCAAATGTATTTTATACAAGAGCATTACTGATTTACCAAACACGTTATTCTAGCTAATTCCTTCGAAGTCATCCTTGTTCCAAAATGTAGGTTTGTGATCCTTCTTCCTCCCATTCAAATATGATAATGACTTATGTTAATGGCCACTGTACCTAAGATGCTCTCTTACAACTAGATTTGCAACTATTTCTGACTCATGGCTCAAAATCAAGTAAAGACTTCTCCCCAGTTAGAATTTAAAACGTGCTGATTTAGAAAACTGTTCTGCACACATTGAAGAAATACAGTGCTTTTCTAATTGTACTGTGTACCTCTTGCAAACTATATACGAGTTAACATTTGTAATTCTAACCTTTGTATTCCCTTACAAGCTTCCCTGATCTGTCAGCACATCCATTCCTCTATTTCACCACCAGTAAGAGGGACATCTCATTCCATAATGCACTTCTACCCAGAGTGATTTGACTATTCTCTTAATTAATAACTCTTATTATTCTTATCATCCTAATGGATCTTCTCTAAAGCATTGATATTCTTTCTACAGTGAAATACCCCAAATGGATACAACAGTTGAATTGTGATCCAACTTATGATCTACAGAGACTTCGCATTATCCGCTGATATCCTTATTTATTAAAACCTACGATCGATTCCTTTACCTTTTTTAAAAAAAAAGCTGTATCGACTTTCCTTTCTACCTTTGCTTATGTGAACTATAAGATTTCTGATTTTCCACTCTATTTGAAGTTTTACCATTATACTGTACATTTTCTCTCATTTGTTCTTCTAAATCATATCACCTCACTCTTATCTGCATTCAATTTTATCTGTCATCTAGCCACCCAATCTCAATATTGAGATCAGAGTCTAAAATACAAGGCTGCTAGAGGATGTCTGGAGACTTCAATCTTGACCAAACTCACAATGTCACAGAATTTTTTCATTGATAAAATTCAACATGGAAGAGGAGCACAACTGATTACTAATATGAATACTTTTAAACCTACCAAAACTGATAACTTGGATGTAACCAGACATGAGGGTTTACAGTTATGCAGAAAAACTTGAGAAGTTAGAGCTTTTTTCACTGGAGCCGAGAAAACAGAGACGTAATCTGATAAGAGTAATCGTGAAAATAATGGATTAAATAATCCTTGCATTTCATCTACCTCCTGGTCATATCATTGAATGGGTATGTGAGCAAGAGTGTGATTAGATGGCTCACATGAAAAAAATCCACTGCAGACTTGACAGGCTAATGGACTATTTTTTGTTGCTGTGACATTCTATGATTTGTTGTAACTGTTGTAAACATCATAGAATATGTTAACTTCTCTCAAAGTAATGGACAAAAATACACACATTTTCAATCAACTGTTGTAAACATAAACTTACTTTTTTCTCATATTGATATGCTTCTCTGAGATCATCATCGGAATCGGTTTCCTCATCATCCAATTCAAGAGATTTCTTCGGAGAGTTTACCAAACTCCCTAACCCCCTGCTGAAGGCAGACTGCTGGACACTCTGCAAATGTTCCTGGGAAAAGAATGATATCAGACTGACTGCAATGATCGCACCGCTGAAAGTGTTACAAGCAATGATTCAACCTTGTTTCACAGCGTATAATGTTAATTTTTAAAAAAGGGAGTTTACTATTAAAAGTTAAAATGAACAGCAACAAAAGTTTTAGCATTCTCACAAATTCAAACAAAGTGTTGCCGTTTTTCATATAGGAATGGGCTGAAGGGACAAACAATTGTCCAGGAGTCAGGAAGGGGGGTGGGGGGCACTTGGTCCCTCAAGACAGTTTTTTTTAATAACCAATGGACTTGGTTTTTGTTAGTGTAAGAGGAGTGAAGATTGGATTCAGATTTACAGGTCATAAAGAATGCAAATAGAGTCCTTGGCTTTATGTCCTGAGGAATTGGGAAGTTGTGTTAAATTTATGTAAAACCTTGATCAGACCACATTTGGAGCGTTGCGACATGAAAGGCGCTATAGAAATGTAATTTTATTGTTGTTGTGTAAAGTTCCAGTCTTCACAGGAAGAATATCATTTACATTAAACAGAGTACAATACAATTATATAGTCTTTCATGTTGGGAGGACATCTCAAAAGCTTTACAGTGCTTGGGGATAGGGGGTGATAGAGGTGGTTATTATGAAAGGAATTGATAAGATGGGTGTTGATAGGCTATTTTCACTTCTTGGTATATCCAAAACAAGTAGGTTTAAATACAAGATAGGCAGAAATAGATCTCATTGTGAATTTCAGCGGAACATCTATATATAGAGGGTATTCAATGTGGAACTCGCTGTCGAAAGCTGTGGTTGAAGCAAAAAGCATCAAACATTAAAGTGAAACCTTGATGCAAGAAGGGAATAGAGTCTGACAACAAGCTGGGCGGGGGAGAGGTGGGAAAACAAGATGGAATACCAAAGGATATTTCATAAAAGCACTCAAGCATTCAGCTCACGATCACTGGCAGAAAACTGAGAGAAGTCAGATAACAGATGGAAGTATCAAGAGAAAAAAATGAAAAAGAAAATCATCATTCTTCCTGTGCAGTTAATATACCCTGCTTTGCAGCACTGAGCTAATGAGCAAGTTCCATGATCTTGTTAGCCAATCTGATTTATATTGCCTGGGATGATAAAAAGAGCCAAAGAGAGTCTGTAACAGATTAACAGAAATATTAGAACACAAGAGGGTATAATATCATGAAATACTGAAAAAGCTGCAGTGTGTTTAATGGAACAGCGAAGGGTTTAGAGGAATCAAATTAAGTTTTTTTTAAGCTTGAGGGCAAATACTAAGATCATTTCCATTTGGTAACATGGAGGCATCAACTCGAGATAACTGAAAAGCACAAGTAAGATTTGTTTTACGCACAGAGTTATTTAGATACGCAAATCCCACAGGTATCCATTGAGTCAACTGTGCCATTAAAAAGGAATTGGTTTCCATTTTTAAAAAATAAAAAGGATTGAAGAAAAAATACATAAAAGCTGGATGGCCCATCCCTTTCTATGCTGAAATATCTCAAATTAATTCTCATTGAACATTCAATGTTTGATCATTCATCTTTCATAAAACACGTGGCTTTCGGTATCATTTTACCTGCAAATCTGGGTTGGCTGCTGCCTTCTGAAGCTCAGCACTAATAATTTTCTCTGTTTTCTCCCTCGCTGCTTGTTCCACCATGCGTTGACTCAGCACAGAGAGCTTGGCAAGTGCAGAAGACAGTTCATCTGTGGCCAGGGCTTGCCTGGCACGGTCCTGCCAGCCCATGGCTCTCTCTGTCAGACACTGCAGAGCTTCTCCCTCAGGAAGACGTACAGGAAGCTTCTGAAGGGACACCAGGAGTGAGAGAATTGTTTCAAGTCGTGGCCTTCGAGAACGCATGCACAGTGGGCACAGGAATTTCACCTCCTTCGTCTGCCAAACAAGACCCTTTTTCTGTGTCCCAGCTTTCGGCAAAGGTACGCAAGAGCTGTGAAACCAATCTTTGCACAGCTCACACTGGAGCATAAAGCCACTGGCTGTCTTGCGACACACACAGAATTTCACCTCTTCAATCCTGTCCACCATTGCCATTTTAGCCAGGTTTACTGCCCTCAGAGCACGCATGGCTTCACACTCTTTCCGTTCCATTGTTCGGAAGGCAGCAATCTAAAGAAAATAAAACAATATCAAATGAAAATGATGGTGCAATGCACTTATAGTAATCCCATTCAATAATACCTCAGTGATGTCACCACTGTTGACAGTCAGCAATGACAAGAGGCAGAATGATAGCAATAATACTTTCATTGGATACACCACCTTATCACATCTTTGAGACGTCTCAAAGCACTTTAGAATATACTGTAAAGTACTGTACTTTGTGGGCGAAATGCGGCAGGATACACAGCAGTGTCTCACAAAAAGTCATGCATTGAGTGGCCAAATTATTACTTTTTTAAAAAAGGATTTATTGTTTTTCTTTAAGTTTTCTTTTTATTACCCCAGAAGGGACTAACAACCGGGTTCCTACTTACTGCTCATTAAACAGAGAAGTGTGGAGTAAGGAAATTTGCCCAACATTTCACCCTGCCCGGGAATCAAACTCAGGTGCTCTCGCTTGCAAGGCAAGTGCTCTAACCACGAAGCTTCAGGACCCCACGTGGCTCTGTCCCTGCCTCTAACAGACAAATGTATTTATTCCTTAAAAAACAAGACACCTTGATGTTTGCTATAACTGCAATCAAACTGAAAGGTTCGAAAGATTTGTTTGTACATAAAATAACAGTTAGCAGTGAAAGAACTGCAGTTAAGAATATATAACTGGAATCAAAGAATTGGAAACTCCGAAAATAAAGATTTTATGCACTTACAACTGTGTTTGGATCACTGGATTCTTCAGCTATCTCCTCTAGATCACTCAAGCTCTCCAAATCCAGTTCTTTGTCTCGCTCCATCATCATTTCCTTCATTTTTTTCCGTTTACTCTTTCCACTCCCATAAACTCCAATATCTATTCTGGGGCTCAGTACCTAGCATTAGACATTGCAATTCACAGTTTTACAGAACATGGATACTTTAACCTGCATTTTCAAAGATATTTTTTCTATTATGAGTTCACAATATTTATATATATATACAATTAAAATATATTACATAATATTTCGATTTTGTTGCTTTCTCCCAGCTCTAAATATGTAAAACCCCTTGCATTTGATGTTACACCTCATCACACCAGTGAAAGTCTCATAGCACGTCACAGGGTGTAGTATATTTGGAGGCAACTATGACAGCAATTTATGCACAGCAATGTTCCAAGAAAAGCCATCAAATGAATGATCAATTTTATTTGGAGAATTGTTGGCCAGAACAGGGAAAACTCTTGAAATAATGCCTTGGGGTGTTAACATCAAAATGAACAGACAGACAAGGCCTTGATTTAATGTTTCATCCAAAGGGCGGCACCACCAAAAATGCAACACCCTCCCCCAAGCAAGTGAAATGGAGTGTTAGCTGAAACTGAGTTCACAAGTCCTTTGTGGTTTGAACCCACAGCCTTCTGACTTCGAGGTGAGAATGCTGCCAATCTAGCCAGGCTAACAATATTTCCCAATTTTCTGCCCTCTCAACTACATGAGTGGGAGGATCTTGAAATCGACCTGTTGTGCAACGGGGAGCCAGAGGAGCCGGATAAGTACTGGGGTGATGGGGGTGCAGAGTTTGGATTGGGTATCCGGGAGTGGAGTTTTGAATTAATGGATTTTACGAATAGTGGCGCTGGGGAAGGCTGAAGTAAACGCGTAGATGAAAATAATAATTCTTGCATTTGGAATAGCGCCTTATCAAGTCTTCGAGATGGCTCAAAGCGCTTCACAGAATATAATATATAATAATTCTTGCATTTGATATTGCGCTTTTCACGTCTTCTCGAAGTCCCAAAGCGCTTCACAGAATAGACTGTAAAGTGAATTGACCGTATATATGTGGGCGAAACGGGGCAGCCAATTGCGCACAGCAGTGTCCCACAAACAGTCGTTGTTAATATACTGTAAAGTGAATTGACTGTATATTTCTTGGGCGAAATGCGGCAGCCAATTGTGCACAGCAGCACCCCACAAAAAGATCAAGGCTGAAAGAGGTGTGGTGAAAAAGCTGGGCAGGTGGACTGAATGAACAGCTTGCTCTGCAAGCTGGTGCAGCCTTGATGGGCCAAATGTCCTCTTTCTGTACTGTAAATTTCTAAGATGATTTGATTCCTTCTCTTTACGTTATGGCAATATCAGTCTGGATGAAGAAGACCTTTCGTCCCATTCGATCTCATAACATCCACTGAACCGTTCCCTCATCACTGCATCAAGTTCCTTTTTAAATGAGTCCAGTGTCTTGACCTCAACCACATTTCCTGGTAATCTGTTCCAATCATTCATTACTCTCTGAGCAAAGCAAAACATCAGGATATCTGACCTGAAATTGTCCTTTGCAACCAACAAATTAACAAATCCTTGTTCTTCTATCTTGTTGCACACTAAAGTATTGATCAGCGTTTACTGTTCAATCCCATTTAAAATCTTACACCTCTCTAGGAGTCTGAGTCATCGTCTTTCAAGAGCCCCAGATTGTTTTATCACTGTCTGGTTCAAGGAAGCGCCCATAAACTGAATAGATTGGACCTTTCTTGAATTACAACATTTTCAACCAGACAATGAGTTTGATTTGTTGTTTATGTTGGCGTTTCCTTGGTAATCATCTTTTGTTCCTTAAGAAGCAAGCAATAGTCTGGATTCACAAAGGATTTGGATGTGATCTGCAAAGAACACCAAGGCCCTTGTCGGCATTGACGTAATGGAATTGATGTGTATACAAATACAAATTGATATGTATCATTGATGAGAAACCGTATCTAATAAACACACAGATGAAAAAGAGAGGAAACGAGAATTATGTTTCAGCTTCAGATTGCTGGAAGGTACTGATAGACAAGCAGGATCTTGCTCATTCTGCAAGTAAGACAACAAAAGTCTTCCAAAAATCCTAAGCAATGTAGAAAGGGAAATAAACTACCGTGATTTATTTTAAAGAGGCAGGCAAACCAGAAAAATAGACTTCAAATAAGGGAAGCATTGGGGATCAAATGTAATTGATATGAGTAGTTTTTATTTACCAGGTTTAAATTCTGCAACCTATTTTATGGAATAATAATAATAAACAGGAGAAAACATACATCTCCTAACTAATCTTTTTAATGACTAACTCAAGTTGTGAAGAAACATAAAGAGGAAGAAACACTCTTACTCCAAGTGCTGTATTTGCAACAGCTAGAGGACGGAAGAGTAAGTTTTAATTAGACAGCACCTCGGGGAAGCCATCACAATATGGTTGTGTTTAAATTCCAATGGAGAAGCAAAAGAATGTGACAGCAATTTTTAATTTTAGGAAGGTGGATCTAGAGGGGATGAAGAAAGAACTGTGAAGGCTGTGCTAGAACAGAGCACAGAAAAAACATGGAAACCTTTGAAGAAAATATTGCAGAGGATGCAAAGTAAACTTGTACAGTTGGACATCAAAGAAGGTAATCCAGGGAGTTTAAAATCTATGGGAAGAACAGAAATAGAAATAAAATAGAAAAGAAGATTCAAAATGCAGTACACACAAAAAAAAATGTGAAAGGTTTTATTAATATATTGGTAGCAAAAAGGCAGTCAGCAAAACAAAAAGACCCCTTTTATATTCCAAAAGTGATATTGCATCATGTGACACAGTCAGGGCAGATATCCTAAATAACTTCTTTGTCTCTATATTCACAAAGGAAACCACTGATTGCCTTCCTGGTACAGATATTGAATTTCCCAGTTGATTAGGAAATATTAAGAGGATAGAGATAAATAATAATCTTTGCGCTTTAGCACGTTGTTGAGACGTCTCAAAGCGTTTCACAGGATATACCGTAAAGTGGATTTTAATTAAAAATAAAGAGGCAACATGCATTCATTCAAAAAGAGGTCTTAAGATACATTGTATACCAGGATGGTCCAAACTTTTGGCTGCCACAGGCCGCATTCCTTATTTGAGAAAGGTCCCGTAGGCCACATCCGGCCCGAGTCCATTTCCAGCATTCCAATGCGGGTGACTATCTGCAGCGGCAGGAGCCGGTGGTTGGTAAGAGATGCGCTTGCCTTCCTGACAGACTGAAGTAAAGATCTGCGTGCCGAGTCCTCCCAACTGCAGGCTCCTGCTGCTGCCATGGGAGGACGTTCACCAGGGAGGGAGGGAGGCAGGCAGTGGAAGCTGAAATGTTGGAAATGGTTGCAGGCCGCATAAAATCACCCGCGTGCCGCCTGTTGGACCATATTGTTGTACATTGAGGTCCTTAAGGATTATGAAATCACTCAAATGATAGTGGATTTCTTCAGGCAATCACTGGAACAGAAATGGTGCCCAAGAAATGGAGAGGGATGAATGTAACACCAATTTATTAAGAATGCAGGGGACAGGTAAAGGGTAATTCTGAGAACCACAGGTAAGTGAGTTTGACATCTGCGTCACGGGAAACATGAGAGAACATTCTGAAGGAGAGAATGAAGCTGCTAGTGCAATAATAAGTAATGCAAAGACAATGTTAGGATAGATTTACAGTAAATAAAACTGACAAATTCCTGGAACTTCAAAGAAATAACTGACTTGGTAGACAACTCAGCAAATTGTTACCCTTCTAACAAATATTCTAAAACTGTCACATAAGAGATTGCGTATCAGCTTGCATCAGCAGTAGCACTCGCAATTCTGAGTCACAAAACGTTGTGGGTTCAAATCCTACGGCATGACTTGAACTCGCATAGTCTAAGATGACACTACATTGTCGGTTGCATTGTCGGAGGTGCCATCCTTCGGATGAGACATTAAACCAAAGTTCAGTCTGCCTGTTCAGGTGGATGTTAAAGATCTCACGGCACTATACAAAAAGAGATGGAAGTTTCTCCCAGTGTCCTGGGAAACAATCCACCAAAATAAAAACAAAACGATCACTCGTTTCATGGCTGTTTGTGGGACCTTGTGTGCAATTTTGCTGCCATGTTCGCCTACAAATACAGTCATTCCATTTCACAGTAAATGGATCAAACCTGACGCCTAAGTTGCACATGGGTTCAGAGAGTCTGAGGGAGAGGTTGAGGAGTTCAGACTCACAGGAGAAGACGTTGACAAGAGCCAGAGTGTGGCTTCCGTCATGCCGACATTCAGCTACAGGAAATTTGCACTCATCCAGGCCTCAATGTCATTTAGACAAGCTGATAGGACATCAATGGACTGGCAGTCGCAGACAGAGGAGGAGAAGTAGAGTTGGGTGTCATCTACATTCATGTGGAAATTGACCCCATGTCTGCGGATGACATCACTGAGAGGGAACTTGTAGATAAGGAAAAAAAGTGGGCCAAGGATGGAGCCTGCGGCTACCCCACAGGTGACCGGGCGGAGGCGAGAAGAAAAACCATTGGCCAAGATGAAGTTTTGGCGGTTGGTAGGATCCATAAAAAAAGCTCATAGGGAGGGGTTCTTGGGAAGTAAAACACTTAAGAGAAATATGGGGAAGAGGCATGTAAATAGGATGATCCATGATCTATGATCTAAAATTGACACAAGAAACTGAATGGCTTTTTCTTGTTCCTAATTCTATCATCCCACCATCTCCTGCCCGTCTCCTGTACTGCAATTTGTTCATTTCTTTGAGGCAGCTTTCCATACAAGAGAAGCTCCACTAGTCTCTTAAAATAACACAATACATCTTTGCCTATCCATGCTTTGGATACCAATATCTTCACACCACAATAAGCACAGAGAGTAGAACAAAATGAGGTTGCTCAAGTCAAGAAACCGACCAGGGCAGACACGAATGGCCAGTTTCTGCACTTAATAGTCTACAATCCCAAAATTTCATAAGCCCATTTCCAAAAAACTGCACATTTAGAGAACCCCTCTCACAGTAGGAAAACTTCCCAAGCATTCCTCTTAGAAGCTCCTCACTGTCAGATACTCTCCAAAAATCACGTTTAACCAACTTAAATTGTACTAATTTTTCTCTCTGATTTCATCAAAGTGACCGAAAACTTGACAAATGTAGAATCCATCGCCTTCTTCACCTGATGACTTATGTACTTCAAAAAAATCTGGGAACAAATTCTGTTGCCTCTCAGTGTCGTCAATTGCAGCCCTACCCATTCTCTGGCAAGCTGTAACTTGCAATGTTACAGCTTGCCAGAGAATGGTCCATTTGAAGTTTCGTAACTGCTGAGAACACAGTTACCCTTAAGCGTTGTATGGACAGGTGGGTGAGTAATCCAGTGTGGTCCCACTATAATTAAAATTTATTGCCCAATGTAGAAGAGTAAAATATGACATGAAATAAATCATTCAAGTCACCTGAAGTGAGAAGTCAACACGTTAAACGGGTTTCACTGTTATGAACAGGGAAGGCTCATCAATGCAATCTCATTAAATTGTAATGACTTTTCATTTAATGAGTTAATTATTGTCCTCCTTCCTCCTGGACTTGGGTACAGCAAGTACCATTTCCAAGTTTGCGGACGACACAAAATTAGGTAGGGTGGTAAACAGTGAGAAGGATAGGAGCCAACTACAGGAAGACATAGATAGAATGGTAAAATGGGCAGACAGATGGCAGATGAATTTCAATGTGGAAAAATGCGAGGTATTGCATTTTGGAAGAAAAATAAGGGGAGGCAATCTAGGCTGGTAATACAATCTTAAGGGGGGTAAAAGAACAGAAAGACCTGGGGGTGCAGCTAAATGAATCCTTGAAGGTGGCAGGACAGGTAGATAAGGCTGTAAAAAGGGCAAATGGGTTTCTAGGCTTTATAAATAGGGGCATAGAGTACAAGAGTCAGGAGGTTATGATTAACCTATATAAAACACTGGTTACGCCTCAGTTAGAATACTGCACCCAGTTCTGGGCACCACACTACAGGAAGGATGTTAAGGCATTGGAAAGGGTGCAGAGGAGATTTATAAGCATGGTACTAGGAATGAGGGACCTTGATTATGAGGAAAGGCTAGAGAGGCTGGGATTATTCTCACTGGACCAGAGAAGGTTACAAGGAGACCTAATAGAGTAAAAAATTGAGTAAGAAATACCTAATAAAATAAGAAATGTTTTCACTCAGCGAGTTGTTTGAATCTGGAACGCATTGCCTAAAAGGGTGGTCGAGGCCGATTCGATAACAACTTTTAAAAACGTGGTGGACGGGTATTTGAGGAGGATGGGTTTGCAGGGTTATGGGGAAAGGGCTGGGGAGCGGGATTGACATTGATTGCTCTATTCAAAGAGCTAGCACAAACTTGATGGGCCGAATAGCCTCTTTTTGTGCTGTACAATTCTATGATTCTATAAAACTCTTTTACAACCACATTTCAACCGTACAGGAAGTGTTGATTCTTTCAAATAGATTAGATAGTTTTCTTTTAGAAAATAACATTAAGGAATACATTACATAGGTGGTTTGGGACATATGTGCATGCGACCGCCAGAAAGGTGGAAGGCGAATTAGATGGACCTTGGTCTTTTTTCGTCTAGCATTTCTTATGATCTTATTTAAATACGTGGAATGTCACTTGGTTACCACCCTTTCTGTGACCAAATGCCCCCTACCTGCACTGGCCTCCCAGCCCCATGGTTCACAAATGCCCCCTGACCCTGCATCACATGGCTCCCGCTCCATGAGAGTTGCCATTCGCTGCCCAACCTTGTTTAATCAAATCGACTACCTGACTTTTGAATAACTATTACCAGAGGCAATAATAATGATCCTTCCATTTAGTACAGCACCTTTCACATCAGGAGGACATCTCAAAAGCGCTTCACAGAATTTAATATGAAGTGTAGCGACCGTGTATCGGTAAGCAAACGCAGCCACCCAATCGCACACAACAATGTCCCACAAACAACTATGAAATGAAAGACCAATTTTATTTGGGGGATTCTCTTATCACTGCAATCATTATTATCGCATACAGACAGAGTCTCATTTCCCAGCAAAGGCGACTGCAGATACAACAACAACTCAGATTTATATAGCGCCCTCCACGCCGGACGGCGTCTCAGAGCGCTTCACAGTAACGGATCCCAGGGCCGAGCCAAGGGGAGGGGGAGGAAGGTGACCAAAGGCGCAGTCGAAAAGAAAGATCTTCAGCTGAGACCTGAAAATAGGAAGAGAGAGGGCGAGGCGAAGGGTGTGAGGAAGGGAGTTCCACAGCCTCGGGGCATAGTGCCTGAAAGCACGGCCGCCGAGGGTGGAGTGGAGGACTCGGGGGACGAGGAGGAGGCCAGACCCGGTGGAATGAAGGCAACTGGCACTGTTGAGAGTAGAGGTCAGAGAGGTAGGGGGGGTGCAAAGGTGTGGAGGGATCTGAAGACAAGGGTGAGGATCTTGAAGTCGATCCTCTCTGGGACAGGCAACCAGTGCAGTCTGGCAAGGTAATCGGGGAGCGGAGTTTGGTGTGGGTAAGAATGCAGGTGGCAGAGTTTTGTATGACCTGGATTTTATGAATGGTAGTGGAGGGGAGACCAGTGAGGAGGGCATTTGAATAGTCCAGCCGAGGTGACAAAGGCATGGACCAGGGTTTCAGCGGCTTTTGGAGTGCGGTATTGGCGGAGACAGGCGATGCGTCGGAGGTGGAAGAAAGCGGTGCTGGTGAGGGACTGGATGTGGGAGAGGAAGGATAATTGGGGGTTAAACCTGACGCCTAGGTTGCGTACGGGTTTGGAGAGTTTTAGCGGGAGGTCGGGTAGGTGGAGGGGGTGAGAGCCATGTGATTTTCGACGTTGACGAGAGCCAAAGAGTATGGCTTCTGTCTTGTCAACGTTCAGCTGAAGGAAATTTGCGGTCATCCAGCTCCTGATGTCTGATAGGCAGGCTGACAGAACATCAGGGGACTGGGGGTCGCAAAGTGAAGTGGAAAAATAGAGTTGGGTGTCGTCCATATACATGTGGAAGTGTACCCCAAGAGGGAGCATGTAGATCAGAAAGAGGAGGGGGCCAAGGATGAACCCGCAGGTAACCAGGTGAGAGCGGGTGGAGAAGCCGTTTGTGCAGATGTACTACTGGCGGATCGTGAGGTAGGACTCGAACCAGGCGAGTGCAGTCCCACTGAGGTGGATGACGGAGGAAAGGCAATGGAGGAGGATGGCGTGATCGACTGTGTCGTAAGCGACAGAGAGGTCCAGGAGGACAAGGAGGCAGAGGGAGCCCTGGTCACAGATAGAGAAGATGTCATTTGTGACTTTCACAAGCGCAGTCTCTGTACTGTGGATATGGCGGAAACTAGACTGGAGGGGTTCGAAGAGGGAGTGGGGAGAGGTGTGCGCGAAATTGATGTGCAACAATGCGTTCTAGGACTTTTGCGAGGAAGGGCAGGTTTGAGATAGGGCGGTAGTGACTTGGGTTTGAGGGATCTAGGGAAGGTTTTTTGAGGAGGAGGGGTGACGACAGCAGGTTTGAGGGGGGCAGGGACTGATCCATAGGAGAGGGACTGGTTGATGACATCAGCCAGTAGTGGAGGAGTGGGAGCTGGGTGACCAGCAAGTTGGTGGGGAGGGGGTCGAGGCAGCAGGTGGTGGGTTTAATTGAGGTGATGGTGGGTGAGAGGGAGGAGGGAGAGATGGGGAGGAAGGAATGTAGGATAGAGGTCGTGGAAGGAGCTGACGATGGGGAGAGTGAGGGGGACGGAGAGGTGGTGGTGGTGGGTGACAAGAGGCAGGAGATGAGGCTGCCTGGCGGATGTTGTGTATTTTGGATGAAAAGAAGTCCATGACCTCCTCGCACTTGGCATTCGATGTGAAGATTTAGGAGGCCTGAGGGGGCGCACAGAGGAGGTAGTGAGTGGTGGGAAAAAAAGGATTTTAGGATTATTTTTAGCCTCCAAGATGATCTGAGAACCACCTCTCAGACCCACCTCTCAGACACACTTGACCACAGTATAAAATTACACAGGTTATGAACGTCTTCCCGACGTGAAAGGAGCTATACAAATGTAATGTTATTCTCACATTTCTAATTTCAACTGCTGGCTATGCCAAGTGAGAATCAAATCAATAAAGGCACGTGAATCATGTATTGTGTAGAAATACATACAAACATTCAAAGGGTTATTCAAAGGAAACTTTTGAGACCATGAAACAAATTGCATTGCCGAGTGACAGATGAAATGTATACCTGCAACAGCGTATAAGTGGAGTTCTTCTTCAGGAAGGTCCTGGCAGTACGTTCTCTCCAGGCTCGAGCGGCCGTTACTTGGGACTCCACCTGTGGCAGTGGATCAAGCCGAACTGAGATCGGACGGCCTCTTGACAAGAGACTTTCCAACTGGTCCAGGTAAGCAATGAAAGAACCATTCTGCAGGCACATTGAAAAATCATTCACAGTAAGACATGCCACAGAGAATCCATTAAAAAANCACAAATAAAAGACTACAATGTCATAGGAAATTACAAGTGTTCACCTGGAGGTTTGTTGGAATGTGAATTTCTCTACCACAATCTGTTGAGTGAATCTCCATATATTCGTATAAAACAGCTTGTATTTATTGAGCACCAATAACAGGAGAACCTTCTAACATGGTTCAAAGAGACAGGAGTGGTAGCGGAGCAGTGAGATGGGGAATGGCCAAAGGAATAGACATAGAAATAAGATTTTTGGAAAGGTTTTGAAAACAAAGAGAAGGAGCGAGGTGGAGGAATTTAGGGTGATTTCTTCATAGTGGGGGGGGGGGGGGGAGTGGCTGCAAGCTCTCCCACCAATGAGTGGAGGGGGAGAGGGACATAAAGAGGGCAGAATCAGATGGATGCTTGAAAAGGAAGAATATTAATGGATTTGGGGAATCAGCAGGCTCGTGTGACTGGAAAGGCTGAATGAGACTTTCAGAATCAGGTCTCGATTACTGCCCATTTGCGTTTGTTACTTCTACAAGGCCTCAGTATCAGCTTGGCTCAATTTGTAGACTCTTTCTTGTCTCTGAATCAGAAAGTTTTTGGTTCAAGTCCACATTGGGATTTTGAACTCACACAGTCGAGGTTGACGCTGCATTGCTGTACTGGTGGAGCACTGCACTGCTGGGAGGCGGCATCCTTCAGACAAGACATAAAACCGATGACCCCATCTGCTTGTTCAAATGGACGTTAAAAATCTAAGTTATAATTTGAAAAGAAAAGGGGGTTTCTCCCGGTGTCCTAGCCAACAATTCCCAAATAACATTGGTCATGGCTGTTCTACTTCTCCTCCTACAGCTGCGATTCCAGGTCTGCCGATGTTCTCTCAGCCGGTCTGTTGGGCATCAGGGCCTGGATGAGCAAAAACCTCCTACAACTAAATATTGACATGACGGAAGCCATACTCATTGGCTCCCGTCAATGTCTTCTATCCTGCGGCTCTGACCTCCTCAACCTCGCCGGCCTATCTCTCAGACTTATTGAACTGGTGCACAATCTAGGCGTCAGGTTCGACCCACAGCTGTTCTTGCTTCCCCACATCCGCCACATTGCCCACCCCCGACCGTAGCTTACCCCAGACGCAGCTGAAACACTCATCCCTGCATTCGTCACCTCCTAACTCGACTTTTCAAAGGCACTCAATGTCGGTTTCTCCAGCTCCACCACATACAGGATCCAGCTGATCCAACATGCCACCGCCTGCATACTCACCCGTACTAAACTCCGTATATCAGATCAGTTCTAGCCAGGCTCAACTGGCTCCCCATCACTGACCAAATCGATTTCAAGATCTTCACACTCATTTTCAATCCCCTTCATGCCCTGGCAGCTCCCTACCTCTCCGACCTGCTTACCCCCCAACCCACAACCCGCTTGACTGACTCCAGTCTTCTGCACGTCCCTTGTGCCCTCCATTTCCATTAGCGGCTGCTCTTTCCGCCACTATGCCCCGAACCTCTGGAATTCTTCCTCTATCCCTCCGCCTTGCCCCTTCCTTCCACATCTTCAGATTGCGACCGAAGACCTTTCTCTTCGAGCGTGCTTATGGTCACCTCCCCCTGACTCGGCGTTATGCTCCATCACTGTCAAATGCCCTGGGACTCTCCCCTTCGTGAGGGGTGCTATATAAATGAAAGTTGTTGTTGGTATTCATGGGATTTTATTGTTCATAAGATATCATGTTTGTCAAAGTGTAATGGCAAATACAGTGAAGTACTTTTAACCTCCCACCCACAACGGAAAGGGATTATATCAAATTCACGGATGATAACCTACAGCGGTACCACTTTATGACATGGTAGTCGGGATACATGGAAGTCCAATTTATGAATCAGAACAGTGCTGTCCAACCTATAAGCTGGTTACAGACCACCTTCACGGGACCTTCTAAACTCTCCAGTTATCACTCCATCAAGAGTTTGAGTTCAGAGTCTAGGCTGACACTTCAGTGCAGTGGTGAGTGAAGCATTGTTGGAGGTGCCGTTCAACCGAGGGTGGACCTGTGTGTTCTAGATCCTGTTTCCACTCCTACCTGTTCCAGCACCTTTGTCCCACCTCACCTCATTTCTTGGCTTCTTCTACCCATTCAGAATATTCTAACTGCGGTCCAACTGATGATTCATGCAAGCTTTACATTGATTATATTATCTTCTAGATCCATATTTATAAAGCTTAGGATTTCATTTGTTTTCTTGACTCCTTTTTCCACCTGCCTTCCCACCTTTAAATAGCTTCATGAAATACTTTCTTCACTTTTGAAGTGCAAAGGCTTCAGACTTGCCTGAATAGCTTCTACTTTGGCAGTCCAGTCTTTGGCTTTCAATAGGGCTTCCTTAAGCGCAAGCACATTAGGCAGATAGGCGGGAATTTTCTTTGCCTCATTTACAATACTGTCCAGCATCGCCATGCTATGCCGAGGCCTGAAAAGAAAAGAAAAGTCAGTACCTATGTAAAGACCTTGCCCGAAAAACACAGAGTAAACCCTGGACATATCTGATCTACCTATTCCACCTTGTGGAGCCGGTGCAGGAAGTAGTCATCTTGTTGGACTTCCAACTGTTCTTTAAATGACACCTCTATGCTGACCTGCTCAGCTTTCCCTGCCTTCTCCACAACCTCTATATTCGAGCAGCCAAGACCTTAATCCATGCATTTATCCCATCCAAGCTGGTCCATGTCACCACTTTGCGTACCAGACTCCCAAGCTCTTCCATATACAAGATGCAGACTGTTCAGAACTCTGCAGCCCATATCCTCTCTCGCACAAGGTTCCGCAAGCTTATCACCCTCACCCAGCTCTGTTGGATCCCCATCGTCAAGTAGATCAAATTCAAGATCCTGGTTCTCACCTTCATAGTTCTCCATGGTCTCACCCCACTCTACTTCTGTGACCTTTTCAAACCCTAGCAAACTTTGCTCAGTGAACACCAGCCTGTTTGTTGTCTCACACCCTACCTGCCCGTAAGCTTTCTGTCTTCCTGTACCACTCTGCAACTTCATCCCAGATTCCCTTCAACTCCCTTGCTCCCTCTCTTTCTCACTACGTTCAAATTCAAACCTACCTCTTCAACCTACACCTTTTGCCATCTTTCCTCTCCCCACCACTATTAGCTCCCATCCACGTCTGGAGTATCCAGCCAATACTTTTGTGTTTTGGGACTTCACCCAATGTGAAAGACGCAATATAAATGTATATTTAGATTATAGTGCTCCCTCATCTGAAGTGAAGAATACACCCATAACCAGTTTGGGCAACATAAAACCACAGACAACAAATTCCATTTGTGTAGCCTTTTATGTTGGTAGGACGGCCCAAGGCACTGATACATACAGATTGAGCCCTTCTTCTCTTCATTCTCTCAATAAAGTGAATTAAAATGGCACAAAGATTTGACCTTTTCCCTGGATAACCTCATTGATGGATTTGAACATGCCCTTTGCTTTTGGTCCCAGGTCCATGTGACTGCTAATGAGGAAACAATACCAAGCCACAAATCCAACCATTAATATGGATTACTAAATGACTTTTGAGAGCCCTTTTGGATTAAAACATCCATATTTCAGATTGGCAAAGTCAAGTACAGTTTATCATTCATTTTATTGACTTCTGAAATACAGGGAAAACAATGTGAAACTAGTTATGCAAAGCAATGATTATCAGCAGATGGATTTTCTAACTCAGTGCTGTTGCAACTGAAAGTGGTAACTTCTGTGGTTTTGCCCTGGAAGCCAAGTTTTACATTTTTGCTGATAATTCACAAATGCTGCCAAAAGTTAAAGGAACTATAAAGTTATTAAAAAAGTGTTTGTTTGTCTGTGTCTGTGCACTTATGGTGGGAAACAAAAATTAGAAGACCTGACAGACACCTGAATAGGATGAAATTCCACCAGTGGCAGCTTAATCTTTCTTGCATTCAATCTTACGCAACATTTACATAAAAAACAAATGACAAGCAAACCATCTTATCAGCATGCACACGCACGCACACACAGAGCTACTCTTCTCACAGTACAAACAGCAGCACTCTATGGAGAAATAAATAAATAAAGAAAAATTCAATTGAATACATGTTGAAGTTTAACAAATTACTTCATGGAACATTAAGAACTCGAGAGAATTCCACTGCACTGCGCACAGGTCAGTTCCAATTTGTTCAAGTACACAAGAACACTTTTCTATGCAAAATATTTGCATTTTTTTCTTCCTTTGTCATTCTTTACCCTGTACTATGTATGAACCATTTCTCAAAGTATGGGGGAAGGAGGAAGAATGTATTAACATTTCCTACACTGTTTACTCCATCAAACATAAAATTAGATCAATTGACAGATGAAAAACAAATTGTACAGTTCTAACACTTTGTTGAGTTTGCAACTCACTAGCCTTGTCTCAAACAGCAACCCACCACAAACTGAGAAATTGTCAACAAAAAAGCAGGCCAAAGGTAATCGTTATCAGACAGTTTTGTGATAAGATGCGTATGTGATCCAGCATGAGAAAGGGCTAGTGGCTGCTTGCAGAAACATGATTGTCATACCTCGCTTGCAGACAAATTTTGGCCTTCTCCTCCCAACGCTCAGAGACAGTTAAGAGCTCCTGTAAATCTGCCATCGCCTTTTCAACTGCAGGATGTGGTGCCAGACCGATACCAGAATCTATGAGTTTTTTCATCACGTCCAGAGTGACCTTGTCAGGGTCTGAGAGGGTGAGGTGAACTTCATCGAGCCACCGAGCTTGTTGAAGCTCTTGCTTGAGTCTGGGAAGCTCCTGCAGCTCCACATCCAGCCCTGAGCCCAACTCTATCAAGGATTGTAACTTGGTCGAGTCTGGAGTCTCATCAGTCAGAGCCTCCTCAGCACGCACATGGAATTCTTCCACACTGTCAAGCAGCTCCTGAAAAAGAGATAAATTTATATTTCATTTATTTGGTAAGAATGTGCAACATAATTTTATTCTATCTTCCTTATGACACAACAACTTGAAAGTGATTGGGTAAGTAGCCAACCTGGTGTTATCTGGACAATTCTGTTACCAAGCTAACAGGAAGGATAACTACGGAAAAGCACAAATGATTTTGGAAAAGCAGTCTTCACACCACCAACTCTGAAAGTTGACAATGGAAGCAAACTTTCATCTCACATTTGCAGGACACTACCCATTGGTACTCCAATGGAATGATCCAGTGCGGCAATCCTCTCACAAAATGAACAAAGTACTCATTGCCCCAGATAAAACTTGCATCATCAGAAAGGCTTAGCGGATGGTTCGCATGGGAAAAATAAATGTTCCATTTGTTCTGCAGAGTGAGAGTTTAACCGTTTTAAACGTGTTTTTGTCCATTTTAAAACAGTCACTGAAGCCATTTCAAAGCATTTGAAACCAATTACGATTATTCATAAACACTTTGAACCCATTTTAAACGGTTTGTGCCACATTTCATGCTGTCTCTAAACCATTTCCAGCCATTTATAACCATTTAAACTGTCTCAAACCTGATTATAATCCGTTTCTCACCACTTTTAACCTTTTTTCTGACCGTTTCTGACCCTTTAAACCTTCGCTAACCTCAGGCACTGGCAGTATCGACATTCACAGATGTACGCTACACCTCAATGAGCCAGTCAGGAACCTAGGCGTCTTGTTCAACCCTCAACTGTCATTTCTCCCCCACATCCATGCCATAATCCGCTCTGCCTTCCCTCACCTCTTTAACATTACCCGACTCTGCCACTGCCTCACCCCTCAGGCCACTGAAATCCTCATTCATGCCTTTTACATCTAGGCTCGACTATGCTAATTAGCTCCTTGCTGGCTTTCCAACTTTCCCTCCACAAGCTGCAGATCATCCAGAACTCTGCAGCTCGTGTCCTCTCCCGCACCAGGCTCCGTGATCCCATCACCACACCCTCACCCAGCTCCACTGGCTCCCCATCCTCAAGAAGATCGAGTTCAAAATTCTCATCCTCACCTTCAAGGCCTTCCATGGCCTTGCCCCCTCCTACCTCTCTGACTTGCTAACCCCTTATCAACCTGTCCGCTCTCTCCGCTCAGCAGGCTCCGGCCTGCTCCATGTCCCCGCCCAGCCCACCATCAGCGGTTAGGCCTTCAGCCTCTCTGCCCCCACCCTCTGGAACTCCATCCCACATTCCCTTCACCTAACTCCCTCCCTTGCCTCCTTCAAGGAACGCCTCAAGACCCTACTCTTCAATCGTGCCTTTGGCCACCCTCATACCCTCCCTGCCCTCCACCCTCCCTGATCCAAACACCACCCCCTCCACACCCGCTCGGGTCCTAATGCCTAACTTTTCCTTGCAACGTCTTCCTGATGTGAAAGGCATTTTACAAATGTAATTTAGTATTGTATTGCAGGGTACTTTTCTTAGATCGTGTACAGAAATCTATACTTGTGGTCCTCACCTGGCAGCATTTATTGAGAATCACCCTTTCACCCACAAAATATAGTCAATTCACTTTACAGTATATTCTGTGAAGTGCTTTGCTTTGAGACATCTCGACAATGAGATAAGGGGTTATAACAAATGCAAGGATTATTATTATAATCAAAGAGGATTTTATCAACCATCTAATGCTTGGGATAGAATTTTTAGCACAGAAGGAGGCCCTTTCTTTCATTACTTTTGCTTTAATATTTAAAGGAAACTCGACCGTTGAAAGTGTTGTGCAACTAACAATGAACAAATACAGTCATCAAATCAATTTGCAACAACCTCCTGTGCTGAAGGGCCTCCTGTACCTAAATTTCTATCCCAAGTATAAGATGGTGGGTAAAATCCTCTCTATAATTCTCAACAAATGCTGCCAGGTGGGAGTACAATATCCTCAATTTCAACACTACCTGATTTCATGATCTTACCAGCTGCTGACAATACATTGTTGGCAGAGTCCTGAAAGATGAAGTCAGACAGACCGCAGCAAAACATCTGCCACCCAATTTGTTGTGAAGTGCTCACCTTGACAAGTCGTGCTTGGCTGATAACACAAGGAAGGCTGTACAGTTGATGCACAAATGCCTTCAATTCGTGGACAGTCAGCTTTGTCCGAGTCTTCCCACTTTCTGACTTATGTCTGGAAAATAGAGCAATAAAAATGGCAACTGTCACACAAGCCTATATTCAAAATTTTTATGAAGCATTTTTTGTATAAATTACAGTCTCAGTCATGTTCTCTAAAGAACTTGCAATGAAGTGACATTAACAACAACAACAAAACTACATTTGTATAGCACCTTTCACGTCGGGAGAACATCCCAAGGCGCTGGACAGTAGTTTCAGACCTGAGCTGGGGGTCGGGATCGGGGAGGGTAGAGGGCAGGGGGGGGCAAAGCAGGGTGATCGAAAGCACGGTCAAAGAAGAGGGTCTTGAGATGGGTCTTGAAGGAAGCTAGGGATGGGGCAAGGCGGAGGGACTGTGAGATGGAGTTCCAGAGGGTGGGGTGGTGAAAATTAGCTCTCAACCAGAACTTGATGTTTGACAGACATTCTGTCAGGACAGCAGGACATTAAGCAGCCATTGTTTTTATGTGAGTCAAGACCACAATCATCTGCAATCAACACAATGCCAAGGGTGTCACAACTAGCTTTCCGAAGTCCAAAATTTGAAGTTAAGGACACAACAATCGCTTCTGAATCATGGAAGTGTATCCCTGGCTTAGTTGGCAGCACTCTCACACTATGTCTGTGCTGACACTCCAAAGCAATGCTGAGGATTTGTTGAAGTATTTGGGGTGCCTTCCTTTGTTTAGGTGAGATGTTAAACAATGGATCTGTCTGCTTGTTCAAGTGAATGTTAAAGATCCCATACACGATTGGAATAAGTTTCTCCCAGTTTCCTGACCAATAATAATAATCCTTGCTTTTGGTATAGCACTTTTCACTTCTTCTAGACGTCTCAAAGCGCTTCACAGAATAGACTGTAAAGTGAATTGACTGTATATTTGTGGGCGAAATGCGGCAGTGTCCCACAAACAGTCGTGGATTGAAATGACCAATTTATTATTGGTTTTTTTTCTTGAGGGATTATTATCAGTCGTGTGGAGTAAGGAAACTTGCTCAAAGTTTCACCCTGTCGGGAATCGAACCCAGGTCTCTCTCTTGCAAAGCGAGTGCTCTAACCACTGAGCTACAGGACTCCACTTTATTAATGCCCCATATAAAATTGATCATTCACCCCATGGCTGTTTGTGGGTCACTGATATGCACAAATTATTATTAATACAACGCCCCCTTTGTCGGCCTCCCCAGCTGAACCCTCAAAGCTGCAACCGGAACTACACAACCAGCATTCTCTCAAATGAGGCTTCAGAACCCAATCTGCCCTATCCTTGAGAGACTACACAAACCCCCAATTCCTCAGCAGATTGACGAATATCATTCAGCCATCTCCCTCCTACCCCTGTCTAACATACTGCTGAGGTTTTCACACCATCTCTATCAAGTCCTTTTAAAAAATGTAACTATGTGAAAGGAACTACGTAAGTGCAAACTGTTGTTGTTGATGATAGACTTGTAGATACGTTTTTACAAACGATTGCTTATTTCAATCTTATCTTGAATAACATTTCCCCCTTCTCCTCTCTTTGTTACATGTTGCCGAGTTCAATGCGACAAACTCAATGGGTTCCCAAATTGATTATGCATCTTTTGTTGGTTGAAACTAACATGAGAGCAGCAAAAAGCAAAATAGCAACCTTTCTCTTCTCCAAAATCAGTGTATGGATTATAAAATATCATTTATCTCCAGATGTGATTGCTCCCTATATCTCTCTCTGTTTGGTGATATAATATTCAGGACATTGTTCTAATTTAGGTTCAGGGAAGCCAGGGACCTCAATTCTACCATCTGTCTGTCCACCTATTTCACATCACCTTATACTCCAAATTATTTTTAAAAATTGAAACAGTTCTGTGTTTCTCATCATTTCAAACATTTTACCTATTGCGCTGTTTTCTGCTGACAAGAAGCTGAGCTATTGATGCACATGTTTCTGCCTCTTTCACAGCGGAACGGAGCTGTCGCAAAAGGTCATTCTCAGGATATTTCTTTTCTTCTGCTTCTTCCAATCGAGCTTTTAACTCACAAAGATCTGAGTGGAACAACAAGAAAATGTAAACTATTATTTATTGACTTTGGATCTCAATTGAGAATTTCCCATCATCAAAATGAGGAGTGGATCATTTCCCATTTTGGGCATCAAGCATTCCTCAAAAATAGCATAGTCGGCCGTTGAGAAATCTCCCCCAGAAATAGCTCAATGTCCAACTACGGAGCACACCATAGTTTTTTTTGGTCAGCCAGATGTCCGACACATACATGAACCCATCACAATGCTTAAGAGAATCCAAACCAAACAGAGTTCTGTGCATCCCACCAAGCAATGGAAATTCCAATGCCCTGGAATACTACAGAACTGATTGGCTCAGGAACTGGACAACTGAGATCGCCATAGAGGGCTGATTCGATTCTGACATTCCTTGGCCAAACATGTCACTTGAAGCCAGCTCCAAGGAAACCCCATTTATCTCCCTCACCGGAGGATAGTTGCAAGTTGGTCATTTGACGTCTGGAAAGATGGGTTTGTGGACTTGCGGAAACTCCCTGTGCACTTCTTGGTGCGCAACACAGCTCAGCATGAAACATGTGAGAGCACTGCCACCATGTTCCTGCTGAGACCTCAAACACACATCCCTCTCCACTGAGCAATGGTTCCACCAGTTGGAGGTGCAGAGCTTGAGCAGCAACTGCTTAACCTCTGTGCAAACCAAACAAGGTGGATTCCAAACCCTGGATGTCAAAAAGCACATTCACAAATTTGCACTCCAGGTAATGTCTTTCAGCAGCTCCAACCCTCAGAGTGTCTTCAACAGCTATCTGGTGGACATCTGCCATCAGGGTGTGGGAGGACATTTACAGGACAGCTCGTGAAGTGCCAGTCCCCTTGATGCTCTCAATATCCACGTCCAATGTCATCTACCAGGCTTACTCAGCACCAGCCGCTAAATCCAGATACTCACGTAAGGGGCTTTGACAAATAGACAACAACAAGATTACATTTGTATAGCGCCTTTCACGTCGGGAGGACATCCCAAGGCGCTGGACAGAGTACAGCATTTCAGACCTGAGCTGGGGTTGGGGGGTAAGGGAGGGGAGGGGAAGGGTAAGACGTGCCTACTGCATCCAGGGTGATCAGTAACAGGTCAGCGTAGCCCCTCCCTGCAGCCACTTCCAATGTTTGCCAAAATCGCCTTGCTGCTTGATCCTGACAAATGAGCCATCCGCTCCTGGGATGCAGCAATGAGACCAAAGAAAACTCTTTGCTGCATCCCATGAGCTCAGAACCATCAAGTGGAACTTTTCACAAACAGGCCTTATATGCCACAAGCATGACCTATATTGGGACCTTGCTGTCCTTAGAGAGACGAGAACAACCAAAGTGTCTTTTGCCTCTTCTTAGCGGATCCTTCTCTGCACACAAGAGTGCAATATTTTGACATTTGAAGGTCCTACATCAAATCATTTTTTTAAGCAGTTCACACAAAGTTGCCAAATTTAAACAGTTTTTGTGCTATGGCCCACTTATAATTTGAGAACTGGGTGGAGCTTGCCCAAAGTAATTCCCCCCTAGAACACTTATGGGCAGCACAAGAGAAACATCCGTTCCATTTTTCTAAGTTAAATTTCAATCCAAGTTCCAAAAATCCAAGCAAAAGGACAGTTTGTCAAGTTAGTATGTCACCCAGTTGTCCAGGTGAGAAAATCAATTGTCAAAACAAAATAACAAATTTTGAAACCACTTTGGTTCATCACCATATGAAAAACTCTTCAGGTCGACAACAAGGGCACAAACACCTTATACTACTGGGGGTCCATGCACAAATTCACTAAGCTGGTCAGGCTAATGTTGAAGAGAGGGGAAGAGAAAGAGGGGAAATAAATATTCAGAAGGCAGGTCGATCTACAATCCGCCCCCAGACAGTCAATGTCACCTATCTGCTTGGATGGGAAATTAAGTGATATTTGGGGGAGAGATAAACATGCAAGAAGAAAACTGATGTAATGGAGCCTAGAAAAATATATTTTTTTTAAATACGCACCTTTCTTATGATTAAATTCTGCCTCCAAAGCCTCTCTCACTTTGCTTGCCCAGGTGTCATACGTCTGGGCTCGTGATTTCACACCATAAAGCAGTGATGGGAGCTCCTCCAATGTGTAACGGTACCTGATAAAAGTGGGAGATATACCAGCAGTCAAACACTGTACCCAGTTAGAACATACACTTCTACATAGTCGTTTCATGTAGGAAATGTCTCAAAATACTTCACAAGGATTTAATGGGAGCCAGAACAATGTGGGAGATGAGGGAATAAGGAATGAGGTGATGGAAGGAGGTCAAAGATGTTAGTTTTAAGAAGGTTTCTGAAACCAACCAGGGAAAGTGCGAGTCAGAGATACTTTGGAAGAGTTTCAGAGTAGGAACAACAGGATGGAGGTGGAGGCTGGAAACTTTCAGGACAAAAGACATGAATCCAGAACAAATTTCAGAAACTTCAAGGAATGTGATGTGCAATTTCAGGACAAAATTTCTTCACATTAAGTGCAATTAATATCTGGAACAAGTTACTTGGAAAGATAGCTGAGGTCAGGATACTGGGCTCAAGTCAGCAATTTGAGCAAGTAAATGAGAGGGCTGTCAGTCTCTTATAATAAGATCCATGTGCAAAGGTTGTGACCCTCTTGTCAGTTCTCCAAATGGATCTGAATGCCTGGTGAACATTTCTAACAAAGGGACCATCAAAATAATCAGCAAAGCTTTTCATATGGAAACCTGACTTGCTGATAAAATGGTGAATATCAGTGGCACTTTATCAAATGGCTATAACCAAAGTCAAGTAAAAATTAACATGTGCTTATTTGAAATTCTCAAATTTTTGCATCTCTTTGTAAAAAGATATTTTAACAAAATTTTCCATACCTGAGACAGTAGTTCCGAACTGGACAGTCACACAGATCCTTTACATGGTGCAAACACACCAGCCTATTAGGGTCACAGGTACAGGTAATAGCAGAAAGGAAGCATGTTGTCTTGCATTTTTCACACTGACGCTCATCATCTGGTAATAGCTCAAATGCTTCTTGTTCAGACTCAGTTATATCCTAGAATCAGACACAAAGTAACCTTTTTATTTTGTGTCCTCAGAAAGACCTGCCTCACTTTAGAAAGTTTCCCCTTAAAAAGAGAGCAAAGGCTATTTTAAGCAATCCTAGCTCAGCGGGAATCCAAGCTGCCAGCTCCTCGGGTTTTCCCAATTGAGATCGGAGACTGGCATCATTCAGGTATGGGGGGGGGGGGGGGGGGGAGAATGGCAGTTGGAGAGTGACAGAAAGGATACTTCAACACTGTCCTTTAAATAAGAAGAGAAATGTGAATAGAAATACTGCAATTTTGACTCTTATGCATCTCACAACCTTTTTTTTTCCCTCGAGCACAAGTGCGGATGCATTTTCGTCAGAACTGAAAATGTGATAAATGCTATCTCAATCCTTCAAAACAACAGAACACAGTACTCAGAAGTTTTCTGTTTCACTGTTGCAGTCAAAACCAAAACAATCTAGACACTCTGTGATCATTTCCTGAAGACACTTAGTAATAATCAAATCATTCTTTTGAGAAAGCTTCATTTTATTTCATACTTTCCAAAGACTGCCCAAGGCACCAATTTTTAATTTCTATGCAATGTTGATGAACAATTTCTAAATTTCTAAATCCTCAATAATTTTTACTCCATTTTCAAGTTTGTTTTTGCAATATATACTGGAGACAAAGGGTGCAATTAAATTTTAACAGATATTAAGGGGGATACAACTTATAGTAGGCTACTTAAATGGACAATGTGCTCTGGTTACATTAACAAAACACTAGACGACTGTCGCCAGCAGTTTTCCTTTCAGTCCCATTCCTGTAAATAATAAATGAAATTATCCATTGTTTGTAATGTTTTTGTAGTCCTCAAAAGGCATGCCACATGATTCAAGAGGGAGTTGCTGTTGACTGAACAATTAGTATTAAAGGTTATTCCGCAGCATATTTTTGTATGTCAAGTTTTCAATTGCTTTTAGCATAAAGGAGGTACAACAACAACAACAAGATTCCATTTATAGAGCGCCTTTCACGTCAGGAGGTACATTGCACAACTCACTAAATAGATGCAGTGACAACCAGTTTTGTTACCGAGCACAGGTATAGCGTCAACTCATTTTTTCCCTTCTCAGGAATGGAACAGCATCTCTGAAAGGTTCAGATTCCGAAACCAGAAACGTTTGGAACGAAGTTCAGACAGTAGAAACTCATAAGAACAACAATTTACATTTTGATGTTAGGAGAACATCTGAAAGAATTTCACACAACTGATTGGGAGCTCAAGGAGTGGGGGTGGTCTGCAATTGAAAGATTGTGATAGCTGGTTTCATTGTGCAGACGCCTAGCTTGCTTCCTGTGGGCCTGGAGAATGATGTCGCTGCTGACCTCGCTTTGCATGCAGAGAACGCCAGAAGTGATGTTGTGGAAACGTACTGACCCAGATGTCATATAACACAGGAGACAGCTGGCTGCTCGCACGGATATCACAAACAAGACAAACAAACCAGGAAGTCACGTGGCCTCTGTGAGCTCGTGCTCACTCCCCTACAGGAAAAATCAGCTCTGATACCAATAGTTCTTATGCGAACTACAATCTGAAGCTAAGGCAATTAAAACCAATTAAAACAAATGTCATAAATGCAAACCTTGTATTGTGAGCATCATACAGTCTTTGCCCTGGAAAGTACCAATAGCTGCTCCTTTCATATAAATTAAGCTAAAGTATAGATGCATTTTGAGGCCACCAACCTGCTGATGCAGCTCAGACAAGTTAATGGCACCTGCAATTCTCTCTTTGCAATTTTAACCACAAAATCCCCTCGAGAAGATTCCATCCTGTCATTCACACCCACTGAGCTATTATTTTGGAAGCACATTTAACATAATAGACTTGAGCTTTGCCTTCCCTGCAAGGTATTTCAATAATCTCATCAGCTCAGAATCAACCAAACTGCATTTATTACGCCCCATTCCCATTTGTCCTAAAATGTTAACTTTACATATTCTTGAGATTTTCTTCACTGAGGTGAAAGTTGCATCAGTATTTTAAAATAATGGTTAAGTGCTCTTTCCATTCAAGACTTCTTTTTGTTAAAAACATGCACTTATATAGTGCCCTTCACACGGGGTAGCAACTCGGAGGGCTTAACATTCCCCACATCACATACCATTTGTAAGACAATCTCCCGTAGTCGTCTCTCCTCCTCAATCATAACGACCATCTCCTTGCAGACGGCAGCAGCCAACTCAACATCCAGGCCCTCTGGATCAGCTGCCATCTTGCAGATCAGTTCTTCATGTGAAAAGACACAGTATCGGTGCAAACGTCGATAATGGCTGACACACTGCCGACCAATGGGGAGCTGGAGTTAAGTAAAGTGAAAAATCAACACTGAAAGCAACAACTACAAGTCAATGACGGACAAAGTATTTTACAGAGGGGTTGGGAGGCAGATATTTGCTCTCTGTGTCATGGTGAGTGTTTTATTGCCTGTTAATTTTGCAAATGATCTTAATTGTTAATAGCATTTTCATTTCAAAAAATATTTTTAAAAATATTCATGATACTCACTGAGTTTTTATTTGCTGAATGAGTTAAAAAAAAGTTTCAGCTCCTGGTGTCATTCAGACATGCTCTTTTTTATGAATTACAGTTTGCAGCAAATGATTAAAAGTAGCCTCACACCAAGAGGACTGTACTAAACTGGATTACCAAAGGTCTTTCTTGCTTTGCTGGTTGCATCTCTGAAATAGTGAAACCTTACCATCTCTTTCTTTGCTCCCCCTTCCCATTTGTTTGATATTTTATGAGTGTCAAAAAGAACAGAGAGCTGAGAAAATCAATGTCAAGATGTTCAGAAAACATCAAAACTTTGCTTTCCACCTCAAGTGGCAGAGAAAGCACCAAAATATTATTTTCATCAGTTCTAATTTTATCCTAATCAATCTGAATTAGAGGAACTTCATTAATAGATTTCACTGTAGCTTCAAACTGACCAAAAGTAACAATTCATTGTGTGGGGACAGCTCAATTGCAAACCCATTGTTCAATTGCTCACTGGAAAACAATACCTTTACCAATTATCTGAATATCTCTCAAAACCTATCACTTACATCTGTTCAACAGTGGCAGCTGTCCACTGTTTAAAACAGAAGTTATTTTATTCTGATTTATGTCAGCTCTTGTGCTATCAACAACCTTGTATACATTTGCAAAACTGCTGGAGAGCCAAACTTTGCACGACTGAACATGCATTTTATGAAAGTCTTCAACATACCCAATCTGCAGTGCAGAAGTTAACTGCTTCTGCAAAGTTATAGCCCTGGTTGAATCCACTGTGATAGGCTCTTGGGAAAGTAACCACAAATTCACCAGCACACTGATTTGTACGAAATACCTAATGAATGGAAAACAGAAGAACAAGAATTAAATCTATTTTGACATTTCACCAGCATGTTCCATTTCTGTCAAAGTTGCAGTTTCTTATATGTTAAATAAACTAGATCAGGTGGTCCAACCTTTTAGCAGACGCTGGCCGGATTCCGTATTTGAGAAAGGTTTCCGGAACACATAAGCAATATTTCATGTTGGAAGGACATCTCAAAGCACTCAACACTGCTGCTTAGGAACCTGAGCTGGGGGTGGGAGCCAAGAGAGGTGGGCAGGTGAAAAGATGACCAAAAGCATGATCAAAGAGTTAGGGGTCCTGATGTGCTTTGAAAGGGGGGGGTGGGGGTGTGGGAGCAAATCGGAGGGATTCCAGGAATGGAGCCCCAGAAAATGGGGACAAAAAGGCAACGGTGATGGAGTGAGGAGGGGGCACATGAAGCAAGCTGGTGTTTGTGGGCAGAGGAAATGACCGGGTCGAGAGACCGCAGAGATAGGATAGGGAGGCGATAAAGAACATGGAAGATTTTTTAATAGGGAAAGAGAGTTTTCTTTGAGGAAACGGCGCAGTACATTGCTCTGTGTCTTGTCCTCGGTCCCCTCCATGGCAGCCGAGGGAAGCATCGTCTTGACAGTGAACCGAAACATTGCCTGTACTTCTCTCTCTCTCACACTCTCTTTATTTCTTTCTCTGCCCCTCTCCCTGATGCTCTCTCGCTCTCTCTCTCAATCACTCCCCCCATCTCTCTCACACACAATCACTTTGCCCCTCTCTCCTCACACAATTATTTCCTCTCAATCACATCTTACCTCCTCTCCCCCCCTCTCTCAATTACTCTCACACCCCCCTCTCCCACACATTCTTCCCCCCTCTCCCACACACTCTCTCCCCTCTCACACACACACTCTCCCCTCTGCCCCACACAGTCTCTCTCTGTGTCCGCTCTCCCACACACATTCTGTCTCTCTCCCCTCTCCCACTCTATTCTCTCTCCCATACTCTCTCCCCTCTGCCACTCTCTCTCCTCCATTCTCTCCTCCACACAAACTCTCTCCCCCTCCCCCACTCTCTCCCACTCCCCCACACACACTCTCTCCCACTCCCCCGCGCACTCTCTCCCACTCCCCCGCGCACTCTCTCCCACTCCCCCGCGCACTCCCTCCCCTCTCCCGCGCACTCCCTCCCCTCTCCCGCGCACTCTCTCCCCTCTCCCGCGCACTCTCTCCCTCTCCCGCGCACTCTCTCCCCTCTCCCGCGCACTCTCTCCCCTCACCCGCGCACTCTCTCCCCTCTCCCGCGCACTCTCTCCCCTCTCCCGCGCACTCTCTCCCCTCTCCCGCGCACTCTCTCCCCTCTCACGCGCACTCTCTCCCCTCTCCCGCGCACTCTCTTTCCCCCACACACTGTCCCCTCTCCCTCACTTTCTCTCTCCTCTCACCCACACTCTCTCTCCCCTCTCCCACACTCTCTCTCCCCTACACTCTCCCCTCTCCCTCACTTTCTCTCTCACCCCCACATTCTCTCCCCTCTCCCACCCTCTTTCCACCCCCCACACACACTCCACTCCCTTCTCCCACTCTCTCCAACACGCTCTCTCTCCCACTCTTTCTCAATCACGCTCTCCCCACTCTCTCTCTCTATACCCTTCCCACACACACCCACACTCTCTTCCACACACACTCTTCCCCTCATAAACTCTCCCTCCCACAGACACACACACTCTCTCTCCCTTCTCCCACACACACTCTCTCCCCTCTCCCACTCTCTCTCCTCTCCCACACCCTCTCTCACACACACCTACTCTCTCTCTCCCCTCTTCCCTACAGTCTCTCTCTATCTCCCCTCTCCCACAGACACACTCTTTCTCTTCCCTCTCCCACAACAGACACTCTTCTCTCCCCTCTTCCATTTACTCACCTTAGAGGGGGTACAGTGTAGATTCACTAGGTTGGTTCCTGGGATGAGGGGGTTGATCTATGAGAATAGGTTGAGTAAACTAGGTCTATATTCTCTAAAATATAGAAGAATTAGGGGTGATCTTATAGAAACATAAGATTCTTATGGGGCTTCACAGAGTGTGAGACTGATTCCCCTGGTGGGAGAATCTAGAACTAGGGGTCACAGTCTTAAGATTAAGGGTCAGCCTTTTCGAAGAGTTGAGGAAACACTTCTTCACTCAGAGGGTAGTGAAGTTATGGAATTCTCTACCCCAGAAGCCTGTAGATGCTCAGTCCTTGAACATACTCAAGACTGAGATTGATAGACTTATAAAGGTTAGACGGATTAAGGGATATGGGGATGAAGCCGGCAGATAGAGTTAGGTTAGAAGATCAGCCATGATCTTATTGAACGCAGGCTTGAGGGGCCGAATGGCCTACTCCTAATTCCTATGTTCCTACATTCTCTCCCCTCTGCCACACTCTCTCGCCCCCTCTCGTGAATACCCTCTCGCGCGCACACGCTCTCCTCCCTCTCGCGCGCACACGCTCTCCCCCCTCTTGCGCGCACACGCTCTCCCCGCTCTCGCGCGCACACGCTCCCTCCCACAAAGTCTCTCTTCCCTCTCCCACACACACATTCTCTCTCTCCTTGCACACCCACTCTCGCTCCTCACCCACAATCTCTCTCTCTTGCTTCTCTTCCACACACTTTCCCTCCCCCATGCATACACACACTCTCTCCCCTCTCTCACACACACACACTCTCGCCCCTCTCTCAAACACATGCTCTCCCCCCGTCACACACTCTGCCCCCCACCCCCTCACGCACACTCTCTCTCTCTCCCCTCTCGCACTCTCTCCCCTCTCGCACCCTCTCTCTCCCCTCTCGCACCCTCTCACACACACTCTCTCACACCTCTTCTCTCTCTCCCCTCGCACTCTCTCCCCCTTTTCTCTCCCCCCTCTCGCGCCCTCCCCTTCTCCCCTCTCGCGCCCTCTCTCTCTCTCCCCTCTCGCGCCCTCTCTCTCTCCCCTCTCGCGCCCTCTCTCTCGCCCCTCTCTCTCTCCCCTCTCGCGCCCTCTCTCTCTCCCCTCTCGTGCCCTCTCTCTCTCCCCTCTCGCGCCCTTTCTCTCTCCCCTCTCGCGCCCTCTCTCTCCCCTCTCGCGCCCTCTCTCTCACCCCCCTCGCGCCCTCTCTCTCTCCCCTCTCGCGCCCTCTCTCTCCCCTCTCGTGCTCTCTCTCTCCCCTCTCGCGCTCTCTCTCTCCCCCCTCTCGCACTCTCTCTCTCCCCTCTCCCCCCTCTCACAAACACTCTCTCTCCTCCTCTTCTTTCAATCAGTCGCGGGGGTCACTATCTGCAGCAGCAGGAGTTGAAGGTTGTTAAGAACTCGGGGAGGGAGGCAGTGGGGCAGCCCGAAGTTGGAAACAGTCTCAGGCTGGATAAAATCACCTGCCAGGCTGGGCTGCATGCCTGTTGGACCACGCTGAACTAGACCATTGGTCAGACTGGAACTGCCTGATTCACTGTGTTAGGCTTGACCTCAGTTCCATAGGTCAAGGGAGAAAAAAAAAAGCTGGGTTTCCAATTCCTGATAGACAGGAAAGCCTGTCTGTGAGGGGATCATCCTCATCTCATGCAACATCTACACAGGCACATAAATGAATAAACAATCTGTCAACACTCAACATCAAGGTGCCCACACAAATTATGGCCACAAGCAGAAGTACAGGAGAGGACTCAGCACCTTAGCCCACAAAATACAGTCAATTCATTTTAAAATAATTATCCTTGCATTTGATATAATGCCTTACCACGTCTTCAAGACGTCTCAAAGCACTTCACAAAATATACTGTAAAGTTAATTAACTGTACAACATTACTGACTGTAACAATACAATATATTCTGTGAACCAAATGCAAGGATTATTATTGTCCAACAACAGAATATGGAATTATTTTAGTAACTCGATCCTAATTAATAGTGAAGTAGCCAGATATTCAACAGAAAGCAATCTAGATTGCAGCACTATTGTCATAACTCAGGATTACAGATTTTTTCCAGCGAATAACACCTTAACTTGAAGGAATAAAGTAGCCACAGTATAATTGATTTTACATGGGAGAAAGCAAGGGGAGGTAGAAACATACCGGAACTCCATGTTCCATTAGAACATTGGGATTCATGATGGTCACGAGTTGATGTAGAAGATCGGGCTGAGAATCAAATAGTTCTGGAGCCAATTTTCTCATTACAACCTCCAACTCTTCTGCTGCATACCCTGGCACCCCGTACCAAGTTTTTGGCTCGCCCCTGAGGAAGCACAACCAAATATTCACTTTACAATTGCAGCTTCAAAGAACTATATAACCATCTCTCTTTTAAATATCAAATTACAGCAGCATTGATGGCTCATCAACATTATCATACAAACACAGAAACAGGAGAAGACGATTCAATCAAATCTGTTCCACCAATGTAGGAGATCATGGCAAGTTTTTAAATCCCCATTTCCTCCATGTCGCTCAATGGTCTCACTTCTTCCACGTTAATAATAATAATCCTTGCATTTGATATAGCCCCTTATCATGCCTTTGAGATATCTCAGAGTTTCACAGAATATACTGTAAAGTGAATTGACTGTATATTTTGTGGGCGAAACGCAGAAGCGAATTGCGCACAGCAACATCCCACAAAAGTCATGGATCGAGTGATCAATTTATTAATCTAGCTCCCTTGCAAGCATCTCACTTGATTCTGTATCTGCGGCATTCGGGCAGTGTATTTTACATTGTTTGGTGTAAAGAAACATTTTCTGATCCCACTTCCATTTGAACAACTGCCACAGAGACCAGGATTGGTCCCAGATGCAATGTCCAATTTGTGATGAGTCAGCTGATCGAAGCCAGGGCTAGCTGTATGCAAGTTGCAAATGCCTTCAATAGCCCGTCAAAAATGTCTGCCAAAGTTCCACTTCTCCTTCAAGAAAGAAAAATGAAGAAACATGGCAGGACTGCAACACCCCCCACCACCTCCCACCTTTACAGCTTCCCATCCCTACCCCCACTCCCAATCCATGCAACTCAATCATGTGCAATCTAGACAGAACCATTATTAAAACAAAGAAGTGAGGACTTCCATTCAAACAAGTTGAGGCTAATACTCCACTGCAGTGCTGGGTATAAGCCAAATTGTTGGGTGTGCTGTGCTTTGGATGAGACATGAAACTGAGGTCCTGTCTGCCTGTTCAGGTAGATATTTGTCATTCACTTCATAGCTTTTTGTGGGAAACTTCTGTGTGCAAATGGGCTGCCACATTGGCCCACAGAATCAGTCACTCCATTTTACTGTGAAGCATATCCTGTGAAGCATATTCTGTGAAGCGTATTGCAACGTCCTCCTGAAGTGAAAGGCGCTACATCAAATGTAAGCATTATTTATTACTAATTGTATTAAAAAAATCCCATGGCACTTTTCAAAGAGGAAGAGAGAAAGGAAATTCTCGGTGCCTGCCACCAAGATCGTTCATTTCATGGCTGCTTGTGGGTAATATCAAAGGCAAAGATTATTCTTACGGAGAATGGACATTATCTCAACATCAAAGTGTTTTCTTTAAAAGACTGATCTTATAGTTAGAGAACTCAGAATTGTTTATCTGTGATTCACAGTAATCAGCATTTTTCTTGAACCCGTAAGTGTTTTTTAAAAACAAAATGAACATATTGGAATAAATCACTCAGCTGGCATTCTATTGAAGCTACTAACCAGTGAAGATAGTTAATAGAGTAGCTCCAGTGGTCCTCAATATGCCAGCAAAATGAAGAGAAGCACATGCCCACATAGAGCCAGGGCACCTTCATCCCAGAGATGTCTGCGTTAATGTGAGTCAATACGGACTGTTCCAGGACAGGCATGTTGTTCAAGTTCCAACCAGAAACAGCATAATCCTATGAAAGGCAGAAAGAAAGAGAGAGAGTGAGGGCAGAGAAAACAGAGAGAAAGAGAGAGGGGTGCAGAGAAAGCAGTGAGGGAGAGCGAGAGAGTGAAAGGGCAGAAAAAGCAGAAAGGGAGAGAGAGGGAGAGAAAGGGCAGAGACAGCAGAGAAAGAGAGGGCAGAGACAGCAGAGAAAGAGAGGGCAGAGACAGCAGAGAAAGAGAGGGCAGAGGGGGGAAGGGCGCAGGGGGGGGGAGGGCGCGGGGGGGGGCAGAGACAGCAGAGAAAGAGAGGGCGCGAGGAGGGGGGGAGGGCGCGGGGGGGAGGGCGCGGGAGGGGGGGGGGAAGGGCGCGGGGGGGGAAGGGCGCGGGGGGGGAAGGGCGCGGGGGGGGAAGGGCGCGGGGGGGGGAAGGGCGCGGGGGGGGAAGGGCGCGGGGGGGGGAAGGGCGCGGGGGGGGGGAAGGGCGCGGGGGGGGAAGGGCGCGGGGGGGGAAGGGGGGGGGGGGAAGGGCGGGGGGGGGGGCGGGGGGGGAAGGGCGCGCGGGGGGGAAGGGCGCGCGGGGGGGAAGGCGCGCGGGGGGGGAAATGGCGCGGGGGGGGGAATGGCGCGGGGGGTGGAGGGTGATTGGAAGATGGAAACAGAGCGGAGAGAGTGATTGAGAGGGGGGCAAGGTGGAGTATGAGATGGAAGAGAGAGTGTGAGAGGGTATGAGAAGGGGAGCGAGAGTGATTGAGAGAGTGAGAGAGAAAAAGGGGGGAGAGAGTGTCCTCTTCCTCTTTCTATCCCCCTCTTCATCACTCCCTTTTCTCTCCCTCTCTCCAAAGTCATTTTCCAGAAATCAAATAGTGCCAAGATCCCACGGGAGTGTACCGCTAAAAAATACAAGTAGTCGAGAAATTCATGAGTTGGTTCGTCATGTGCTTATGTGCTCATCAGGATCGAAACTGAACAGAGAACAAGCTTTCCCCCCAGGCACAGGTAAAACAATTTAAGACTTCTTCGTGGCCCTGAAGCCCTCTGGCTCGTCACTTCCCAGGGCAATCAAGAATGTGACTCCAGAAAGGGAGATCATCTCCATGTCAGAATATGTGGCATGAAGTTAATTTCATGGAGGTTTTTGCAATAGCCTTCCAAATTTAGACATGATATCCAAACACAATACAAATACGTGACTGCATCCTGTTCTGCATCCAAAGTATTACACGTGTCACCATCGATCGTTTACCACAGTATCTTTTTGATTCCACCAATTTTCTAGAGTTGAAGGAAAACATAAATGTTTACCTCTTCGTCAGGCATCAACCTTCTTTTGCTCTCTCTGACTGGAAATCCACTCCCAAATTCCTTTGAGGTAATATCAGCACCATACTCCACAATGACATCTTCCTCAATACTACTCACAAGTCGCCAAAATTCTTTCTCTACCAACTCCGTTGGAACCATCTGCAGAAAGACACACTACCATAATTGACATCTGAGGGGATCGCAGACAAAGGTAACAGACACACATGTGGATAAGGGGAAAGAGGGAACAACAGATTAACGACAACCCCAAAAACAAGGCCTGTCCAGGTTTCATCAATTTTAGCTTCAAACACCAATAGAAAAAAAGTTCATCTTGATCCAGCAAAGCTTTCATTCAAAGCACAACCACCCATGTGAGTGAACAGATAATTTTCGCATTTACAGCTGCCCTTTGAATTGCTTGCAACTCCATCAAACCCAAACTATTCAAGTACTTCAAGGTACAAAAGTACTCAATATATGTCAGTATGACTTGCTATTGGATTCTGGGTAAGCAGAGTTACACTTGATGATAAAAAGCAAAATCCATGGTTGATTTACCCATGATTTTTCCTCTTCAAGGACTCTTTATTTCCTTAACACCACATTCATAGAATCATAGAATCCTACAGCACAGAAGGAGGCCATTCGATCCATCGTGCCTGTGACGGCTCTTTGAAAAAGCTATCCAATTAGTCCCATTACTCCGTTCTTTGCCCATAGCCTTGAAATTTTTTTCTTTTCAAGTAAACATTCGAAAATTATTATTAAACCGACTAATCTCTGCTCTGCTGCCAGACAATTTTTCTTATTCATTTGGGAGGAAATGTTTCTGTGCGCAAGTGCCATCTGGTGGCCAGTATATAAGTAACAAATTCACATGGAATATCAGGCAGCCCTCAGAACTGTTCCCTCCGTCCATCTACACAAGCTGCTGAAGTTGACCAATCCATTGTGCCAGCACCATGAGAGATTTAGAGCAATTCTTTGACAATTAAGGGAGAAATTCTGAGACAAAAAAACAATATGAGAGGGCTAGTGGTGAAAGGCCTCAAAGTCATGTGTTTTTTTCTGTGGAACAATAACCTGCATTTGCATGTGCACTTCACGTTGTGTCTCAGAGCACTTAAGTAAATAAACACTGTAAATTTGCAGTGTAAATTTTTCAAAGGATAAAAAAGATCATGCAGTTATGCAGTGGGAGAAGCTTTCATGCCTTCAATTTCTCCAATCTTGAGCTTATCTTGCCATTTGAGAGAGGATCAAAGCAATGACAAGTTTGTTTTAATAGAACTACAGACCAGTCAGCCTAACATCAGTAGTGGGGAAACTCCTGGAGACTATAATCCGGGACAGAATAAATCTTCACTTCGAAGAGTTAAGCCAGCACGGATTTGTTAGATGCAAATCTTGTCTAACAAATCTAATAGAATATTTCGATGAGGTAACGGAGAAGGTGGATGAAGGTAGTGCAGTTGATGTAGTTTATATTGACTTTCAAAAGGCATTTGGCAAAGTACCACATAAAAGACTTGTAAGAAAAATAGAAGCCCGTGTTATAAAAGGGACAGTGGCAGCATGGATCCAGAACTGGCTGGGAGACAGAAAGCAGAGAGTTGTGGTGAACGGCTGCTTTTCTAACTGGAGGGAAGTGTACAGTGGCGTCCCCCAGGGATTGGCAGATGAATTTCAATGTAGAGAAATGCGAGGTATTGCATTTTGAAAGAAAAATGAGGGGAGGCAATATAGGCTGGTAATACAATCTTAAGGGGGGTGAAGGAACAGAGAGACCTGGGGGTGCAGGTAAATGAATCCTTGAAGGTGGCAGGACAGGTAGATAAAGCTGTAAAAAGGGCATATGGAATACTAAGCTTTATAAATAGGGGCATAGAGTACAAGAGTCAGGCGGTTATGATTAACCTATATGAAACACTGGTTAGGCCTCAGTTAGAATACTGCGCCCAGTTCTGGGCACCACATTATAGGAAGGATATTAAGGCATTGGAAAGGGTGCAGAGATTTACAAGGATGGTACCAGGAATGAGGGACCTTGATTATGAGGAAAGGCTGGAGAGGTTGGGATTATTCTCATCGGAGCAGAAAAGGTTACGAGGAGACCTAATAGAGGTTTTCAAAATCATGAGGGGATTTGATAGGTTAGAAAGGGAAAAACTGTTTCCACTGGTGGGTGTGTCGGTCACTCGAGGTCACAGATTTAAAATAGTTTCTAAAAGCAGAGGGAAGGTAAGAAGAAATTTTTTCACGCAGCAAGTTGCTCAAATCTGGAATGCATTGTCTAAAAGGGTGGTGGAGGCCGATTCGATAACAACTTTTAAAAACGCGGTAGATGGGTATTTGAGGACGGGTTTGCAGGGTTATGGGGAAAGGGCTGGGGAATGGGATTGATATTACATTGCTCTTTTCAAAGAGCCGGCACAGACTTGATGGGCCGAATGGCCTCTTTTTGTGCTGTACAATTCTATGATTCTATTTGTTCTGAATAGCTTATCTCAAAAAAGCTGCAAAGGGCATCTTTGAAGTGATGAAAGGTGATCACTTGTCAATTAGGCTACAACAACATTTATATACCACCCTTCACAGAGAATAACGTCTGAGCGCTTCACAGGGACAGGCTTCGACAATGAGCAAGGGAAAAGTGAAACAAGGAAACAAAAGACCATTTAGTCTAGCATCTGCCGTGGGTAAACTGTAAGATGCAATTCAATGGGATAACAATAACTTGCATTGTGCGTCTGCCAAGACTATGTGTTCAAAGTCCTGATGTGAGAGTCGTACCCACAAAATTTGACAAGAAGCAAGAGTGCTACAAGCTGAGTAAAACGTTTGCCAGGAATTCAGACGTACTTACGTGCACTGGCATGTTGAAGTAATCAGATTTGAAGTTATCTGCCATCTCCCCAAAGCTCTGGAGCGTATACTCCCTGACCGCCTGCTCAAAGCCAAATGCCTCTGGAGGCTTACTGCAAGCCTGTATATATGGAACATGAAATTTGGTTTAAACAACTCGCATTAATACAGTTTTACTGAAAAACACTTCAAAGTGTTAAGATGATAAAAACTAATCCTTGCATTTGATACAGTACTTTTGGTAAAAATTCTCAAAGCACATCACAGAATTTTACTGTTAAGTCTAATGACAATTTATTTGTAGGTGAACATGGTAGCCAATTTATGCACAGCAGTGTCTCACAAACAACCATAAAATGAATGACTAATTTTTATTCAGAGGATTGTTGGCCAGGACACTGGAAGAATTTCTCTTTCCTTTCCATCTAGTGCCATGGGATCTTTACTATCCAACTAACAGGAAGACCTGACTTTGGTTTAAACCTTCATCCAAAGAAAGACGATGTTGACCAAAAGGATGGTGAAGCAGATACGTTTCAAAGAGATTTCTGAAAGCAGTGAGAGAGAGAGCAAAGTTTTGTAAGAAAAATAAAAAAGTCCAACATCATCCGAAAGAGAAGTGAGCGAAGAGCATAATTTTCATTTTTATAAATGATAACGTTTGCAACAGTTTAACAAAAAAACAAAACAAAAGCAAACACTCCCTGGACTCTAAGCACAGTCCTAATTCTCAAATAAAATGCAAGTCTCCTATTGCGATTTGTTTGAATTATATAGAAATCTTAACTCCAATAAGTGGATCAATGTATCATATCAAAGGGAGTTTTGCCTGACGTTCTGGCCAACAACTCCCAAATAAAATTTGTCTTTCACCTCATGTCTGTTTGTGGGATATTGCCGTGCGCAAATTTACCGCTGTATTTGCCAACAAAAATACCATCAATGCATTTCACCGCAAGGGTCTCCAACTGGTCATCACCTCTAGGTGGCGATCTTGCACATGACCAAACAGACAAGATGAAGAAGGGGCAGAACTGCGTAGTTATTATTAATCGAATCGAAATCTAAGCCAGATGCTCAAAGTATTTCCTGCATCTTGAAATAAAAGTATACATGTTATTGTTTAAACTACAGTAAATACCGCTCCTTCCTCTCGGTTTTATTGAGTGTGCGCAAGACACGTAGTGACGATCGACCGGTTGGAGACCTCTGCCTTACAGTATATCCTGTGAATTCCTTTGCGATGTACATCCGATTAGAAAGGCACAATATCACATTTTAGGATTATGAAATCAAAGCAGTGTCATTGATTGTAAAATCTATCATGTTTTCTGCGAAGCTGTCATCAAATGTACAAAAATCAATTTCCATCCTCAAGCAGATGCTACAAATCCCTTTTTGAAGCAATTCAGATTTTTCATCAGAAATTCTAGAAGGTAGCAAACTCAAGCTGTATGAAGAGACACCCAAAGTTGTAAAAATGTCAAAAAATACAATTTTACTTTTGACATCCTCTTACCTCAGCCACACACTTAGGGCACCTCCAGTCTCCTTTGGGCACATCATGGAGTGGAGGAATGAGGCAGAAAGTATGGTAACTGTCATCACATCCATCACATAAAAGCAACCGATCTTCATCATCCCCACGTGCACAGACTAGGCAAACATACAGGTCAATCTGCAAGAGATTAACATAACTCGTCACAAATGAAATTAAAGGCTAGCTTCTCTAGCCTCTCCTGATAACTGAAGTCCCTCATGCCTGATACCCTCTCCAATGCCTTGACATCCTTGCTAAAGTGTGTGCCCAGAACTGAACACAGTACTCCAGCTGCAGCCTAACCAGTGTTTTATAAAGGTTCATCATAACTTCCTGACTTTTGTACTCTATGCCCCTATTTATAAAGTCTAGTATCCCATATGCTTTAACAGCTTTACCTACCAGTCCCGCCACCTTCAAAGATTTACTTATATCAACTCCCAGGTCTCTCTGTTCCTTCACCTCCTTTGTTAACCCATATATTTGTAAGTGAAAATTAATTTTGTCCTGGATTATAGTCTCTAGAAGTTTCCCCACTACTGACATTAAGCTGACTGGCCTGTAGTTCCCCAGTTTATTCCTCTTCCCCTTTTTGTACAGGGCAGTAACATTTGCATCCCTCCAGTCCTGTGGCACCACCCCAATGTCCAAGGAGGATTGAAAAATTATGGCCAGAGCCTCCGTTATTTCCACCCTTACAATCCTGATCTCAGTGCTAAAAAGATCTGGCTTGACGGCTATCCCCCTCAGGAGAACTGACCTAAACAGAAAGCATAAAAATCAGTCAAAATAAACAAGCTGGCCATGTGAAGATAATAAAGGCTTGGATAGTACTGATAATCCTCCACCAACAGCTTGTTATGCAAAAAAGGCAAGAGGACACCTCAAATTGAAGCTAGTCACCCAGACCAGTCACTGGGGCAGGGGTTCTTCCCACTCAGCTCCCGTTAACCCTGCAAGACATAGCCTTAATAGGTCGGAAGGTCCTAGATGGATGAGCAGTGGGAATTAGGTAAGCAGGATGCGTCCCTCCAGGCAGTGTGCATTCCTTTCCAATAAACATGTCTAGATTTTCCACGTGTAGATGGGATGCATGGAACTCTTAGCTTGGTTTGGAGACCCTTAAGCATTAAAGAGTTTTCTGCACATGTCGAACCAAAACAATAAATGGCCATCTGTGGAAAAGACAGAACTGGTTTCTTCCTGGTTGATCAAAAGGTTGTGTCACTTAAACAAGATCTTTTCCTAATAGGACATGTTTATGGACCGGAATCCCTGAGCTATTCATCCACGGTATTCAGTGGAGTTTTAGTATTAGTATTCTCACTTATCGTTTTAGTATTAGCATTCTCACTTATTGACAAAACAGAGTTAAGAGAAAAAACAAATTTAAAAAGTTTCTTTAAGAAACATGTTGAAGCATCTTGCTGGATAGCATCCTGGCTAAGAACTTACAAAGTTGACAGCAAGGGCTCCTTTTCGTTGCCTCATTTGCATGCGTGGGAGTTCTACATCTGGGTTCTTCCTGTGTCCATTCACACCAACTGAAAACTCTTCATCTGAACAAAATAAAACAGATTGAGGTGAGGTGTTGATTTTTATTTTGATCCAAAAGGTAAAAGTTCAGCAATAATAATAATAATCCTTGCATTTGATATAGCGCTTTTCACGTCAGGAGGACGTCCCAAAGCGCTTCACAGAACACACTGTAAAGTGAATTGACTGTATATTTGTGGGCGAACGCGGCAGCCAATTGCGCACAGCAATGTCCCACAAACAGTCGTAGATTGAAAATGACCAATTTAATTATAGTTTTTGGTTTTGGAGGGATTATTATTAGGCGTGTGGAGTAAGGAAACTTGCCCAAGGTTTCGCCCTCTGCCTGGAATTGAACTCAGGTCTCTCACTTGCAAAGCGAGTGCTCTAACCACTGAGCTACAGGACTCCACGATGACAATGACACTTAAGTTGGATAAACAAGCTGCATTTGTACAGATTTGGTGGTCTTAAGAGTTAACATGCAGTTTCTATTCACTCAGAAATATTGTTCCATTATTCACACACAAAATCTAATTCTAAAACACTCAGATTTACAATCATCCGCGATCAGGTTGCTAATGTTCACTAAATCAATCAGATTTGTGAACATGTCAGAGTTATCATGCAGCACTTGAACTTTCATGTGTACCTCCACTTGTTTTGCTCTAAGGATTACTCTTGTGAATTCATCAAGGTATGAAATGATTTATTTGAGTAGTAGAAAATAGTACTGATGATCCTTTTGTGAAATATTCATTCTTTTCCCATTGTAAAATCAGGTAAGAGTTTGAGGGAACTCGATGCAGATGCTCAGGTAAATGACTTGACACTATACTAATATTTTAATTGGATCCATTAAAATAGAATTCCATTCACTCAACTTCTTATTAATTGACATAAAATGCAAACAAACACACAATTTGGTTATAACTTTATGCTTTAAGTTACAACAAAGTTTAGTTGTAAAACTTATCTCCAAATTTTACCCAATCCAAAGGGGACAGAAAACAGGAAGGCAAATTGCAACCAGGCTCACAGAGCGGGCCAAGAGGAAACCAAATCAATCTTGTTTGGTCCAAGGCAGAAAAGAATGGCTTGAGTTACGACTTTCCCTGCCATTACCCGTCTTCCCCCACTTCCGAAACATCGCCCACCCGCCTCTCCCCACACTCCCTGCTTGTCAACCTTCCCAACTCTTCCCTCCACAAGCTGCAGATCATTCACAATTCTGCAGTTTGTGTCCTCTCTCTCACCAGACTCTGTGACCCTATCATCCCCACTCTCGCCTGGCTCCACTGGCTTCCCATCCCCCAGAGGTTAAGAGTTCAAAATCCTAGTCTTCGCCTTCAAAGCCCTCCACGGCCTTGCTCCTCCATATTTCCATACTTTATGGGCACCAAACCACATTTCATACCTTAGTGCCAAAGCATGTTGGTATAGCAACCAATCGGACAGCAATCGGCCATCTTTCCTGAGATTAAATGGTTGATAGAATTGTAGAATGTAAAACCTATGTTAACCATGCCTCACTACACTCATTGAGATTCAGGTTTCACAAATCCTGAAAAAACAAGACTAAAGCTTATCCCAATTTGAATTTTGTTAAGTCCTTCATACCCTGCTCCACTCACTCGCTTCTCTTACCCTCTCGGTTCTTTGTCCTGAGGCCCAGGCCCACCATTTTGGGTCCAGCACCAAAGATCCTCAGTTTCCTCAATTCAGAGTTTCTGCCGATATTGGCATCATTGCGATCCCCCTGTAAAGAAATCAATTGTTGCTGTTTTTGCAAGCAAGTATGACAACAAATACAATCAGTGAGCTGCTGTTGCACTTGCATTTGGATGGTGCTCATTCCATTTCTGTTACCAACACCAGCAAAAAATCTTTTCAAAACCCATCTTTCTGTGCTGAATCATTTGAACAAAGTATGAAAAAAAATCTGATGTCAAACCACCACAGAAATAACCCTGTCAAAACAAACATCATTAACATAGGGTAGACGTTCACCCTCCCCTCCATGTTTGATCACCTGTACTGAATGTTGTCTTCTTCATTCTTACAATCTCTTTCAGTCTGCACCAACTAACAAACTGCCCTAAAGTAATTCACAAAGCAAAGATTGCATGCTTCTTTGACTTTATACTGAACCCAACTTGGGGCACCACTGTACTTGGCATTGCAAAACTCTTAATAAAACAATTATAAATTGCTCCAGAGAGCTGCCTTGTAGACCGTTAAAAAAGGCCTGTGTTCAGAGTGGTTTCTAACATGATTTGAGATATACAATTAAATTCAAACTTTTCCTGATAATATTTGACCAACAAGTTTTTGAACATATATGGAGCTCATATAACCTGTGTTGATACTCCAATGAAGTGCTGGGTGTGCTGCATTGTTGGGAGGTGCCGTTCCTTTGGATGGGACTTAAAACATAAGTCTCATCTGCTTGTTCAAGTGGACATTAAAATCCCATGGCATAATTCATTAAGACAAGGGATCTTTTCCAAAATATCCCCCAAATTATATTGTTCATCGCTGTTTATTGGACACTTGTGCAGAAATTGGCTGCTGGGCTCATCCACAAAATGAGGTTCACCCTCATTTTACTTCACAATTTATTCTGTGAACAGCTTTGAGATGTAAAAGACACAATGTCAAATATAAGTTTTATTGTCATAACGTACTGAAATTATATTCTGTCCATTTTGCTGAATGTCACTTCATGAAGCATTTCTCCAATTTTCAAGAACAAAACGGCTCATTTTACACTATTTTCTACTCTGTGGAATAAAATACTGATCCTTGCATTTGATAAGAGTGCCTTATCATGTCTTTGAGGCCTTTCAAAGCACATCACAGAATATACTGTAAAGTGAACTAACTGTATATTTTGTGGGTGAAATGCAGCAGCACATAGCAGTGTCCCACAAACAGTCGTGGATTGACTGACTTTTTTTTAAGGAATTATTACCCCGGAAAAGCGATCTACCAATCGACTAATAATCGGGTTCCTACTTACTGCTAGGTAAACAGAGACATGTGGAGTAAGGAAACTTGTCCAATGTTTCGCCCTGCCGGGAATCGAACCCAGGTCTCTGACTTGTTTCGCTTGCTAAAATTGCTCTAACCACTGAACTACACGACTCCCCGAATGTCGGTAACCATCAACAAAAAGAAAAGTTTGTTGAGCGCATGAGTGAAGTTGCACACGAGGCTACTGAGGATAAGACTTAGCCAAACAGTGCAAGCAAATCACAAGGTTTGTAACCCCGCGCTTAACTTTTTTTTGACAGTCACAAAAATGTAGGGATTATTTCTTGAAAGAAGGGATGGAGAAATAGAAGGGACTCAAGGATGGAGTTCCAGAGGATGGGGGCAGAATGGCTGTAAACCCTGTGGAACTATAGTTTCTATGTTGACAACAGGCACTAAGCAGTACAGATAAACAGCTCCCTGCTGCATTCTATATATAAAGTATGCCAAGTTCTGCAAAAACAAAATACTTATTGAAAGCATTAGAACATAAAATAATGCTTTCAAAAGATTTCTAAATGTGCTGACAATGAAACATCCTCCTGCTAACAAAGTAAAAACGGTCCCAGAAATAACCCATGGTTGGGAAAACATAACAATTACTATGAATCAGGGGAGGCACTAAATATAAATGCTTCCAATGCATCCCTGCCCTTCATCTTAGATTGGATTACTCCATGATCATTTCAAAGTGGAGGTTGAATAAACTACAAAATCACAACTAAAAATAATGAACTATTTTGATCATTCAAGTGCAATTTTATTGAGGCAAACGTTTAAATGATAATTATTCCCACCTTCACATCCACACACAGACCTGTGAAACAGAATGACTGACTTGCATCTGATTTATTTGTGTGAGATAGTTGACAGTATCCTAATTTACCTTAAAAGCCAGACTATTCTAAATTTCTTTGCTGTGATGCGTATACCTTGTAAAAATGGATTGTGAAGAAAGCTTGCTAAATACAAAGTCCACGTGACCTTGGAGCTGAACCAAATTCAGCGAATTATTTATTGGTTTAAGTTGCCTTGTACCCTTTTCAAAAAGAACTAAGATTCTGGTGAAGAGATCACTATCAACTTGGGGATAATTCTGATTTTTTTTAAAGATTTAAAAAATTTGAGCCAACAAACCTTTGTTCAAAGACAAGGTCCAACAGTTCAGTGACAAAAGTGTAAAATGGTATTGAGTGCTCAAGACTAATTTTCAAACAAGAACCGTCATCAACATAGGTCCAAATCCTTGACTGTCCAGCACTTTGGACGTCCTTGGGACATCCTCCCGATGTGAAAGACGCTATTCAAATGTAATTTTGTATTGTATCAAAAAGTGTTTGACAAACTAAAAAAAAGGATTCTCCATACTTTGCAAATTCACATCAAACCATAATGTAGAAACGTCATGTCTGGCATACAATACTCTTCCTCCCCAGAAAAAAAAGTACAGTACTTTATTGCCCAGCAAGTAACTTGAACTTAATTTTTTTTATAATATTATTGTATCACTGACAAGATTTCACCTACACACACACACACACATATATATATATATGTATATATCTTCAAATTCCACCTAAAGACCTTCTTTTTTGATCGTGCTTACAGTCACCTCCTCCTCCCTCTCCCCCTGGTACGTTGTCAGACTCCGCCTGTGAAGCACTCCGGGATACTACCCCACCTCAAGTTGTTGTACATCATAATGAGAAGTGCAAGTACAAAGGGGGAGGAAGGTGACCAAAGGCGCGGTCGAAAAGAAAGGTCTTTAGCCGAGCCTACATTATTGCTATCACTACATGTACACGTTTCTTTCCAGCCCACCCTCTTCTTATGATGCATCTGTCAATTTGCCAATGCAATGAGAACCTGGGTTAAGCAGTTGGTGCTGAGTAAATCTGGTACACAAATTGAATTGGACCTAGCTAATCAATCGCTGTCCCGAAAAGCCCTACCACTACGCTGAAGGTAATGCCCATCAAATAGCTGATGAGAAAACTCTTGAGGCTCCAAACGGCATATGCTGGAAGTCATTGTGTTCAGTCCAAGTTCATGAGACTTGGAATCCACCTCGATTGGTATATCAATTGGTGGAACCGTTACTCAAGGGAAACAATGTTTGTCGGTCTTGTGAGCAGAAAGATGGCGTCAATTCGCTCAAAGGCTTCCTGCTGAGCTGTGCTGCTCACTAGGAAGCTTGCAGGGAATTCCTGGTACCTGTTCCATCAAATGAGGGCTCAAACCTGCGCTTGTCAGATGTCAATGATCAACTAGTTGACAAACCTGCATGGGTGCAGGGGAATTAAGCAGGATCTCCTTTCGTTGAACATATTGACCATATAGATAAAAAAAATTGACAGGAGAAAGAATGGTATAGCATTGGTAATGTAGATTATCACTCTTTAGTCATCTTGAGGGGAGAATCAGAGAACACAGACTACAATCTCCTTGGAGCTGAATTGCTTCCAATGTCACATACCCAGCAATAGTGTCAGAATCGAGTCAATCCTCTGTGGCAGTCTCAGTGATTCCGTTTCTGAGCTGGGCAAGCCTGCAGTACTCTGGGGGTACTGCTGCTGACAGTCACTGGGAGCAGGGATTCTTCCCACTCCACTCTTAGTACCAGGCAAGCCAAAGCCTTAACAGGTTTGGTGGTCCTTGCTGGATAAGTAGCAGGAAGTTTAAGATAAAATGAATTTTAGGAAGAAGCACGAACAAATGCCAAACCAAATAAACTAGGAACATGAAAAGCAAGATGTGAGAATAGAAATAAAAAGTTGTGGCAAATGGAAGCATAGATCAAAATGAACAGAGTGAAAATTAATGCCACAGTAATCAAGAGATTCACTATCTGCCACCTCACAGTGCTTACCATCTCAAAAGTATTGATTGAAATAAAGCAGCTGCTCTCTTCAATTCGATAACAGTTTTTAAGAGAAGTAGATAATTATTTGGGGAGGACAAGTTTGCAGAGCTATGGGGAGAGAGTGGGGGAGTGGGATTGAATTGGATAGTTCTGTTCAAAGAGCCGGCACAAACACAATGGGCCAAATGACCTCCATGCTGTATAATTCTATAATTCCCAGTCAGACCACATAACCTTCCTCGACTGACCTGAGTATTGGTGTGTCAGTTTACTGCCGCTTCTTCACTGAGTCACCTAAACTTGCAATTTCCTAACAAAACTAGTGATGGATATTGAAAGTCACTAGTTGCTCCAAAAGAGGTTCTGACTCACATCTCCTCATACTTGCAATCTTATTTCTGTTCAGCTATCAAGGTTGCAATGTTTGAATTTCAAACATTTGACCCATCCTTCTGCACTCTGACATTCCTTATTATTCTGAGGCAAAGATGACTGAAGATCTCATAAAAGTTTTTGTAAAATTACTTGTGAAACCATTTTGAAAATACAATATTTTAAAATTGTTTCAAAATTATTTTGAGTAATCAGAACATTCCTGAACCAAAGAAAGAAAGCTGTGAACTGTAATATTTCAACAAAAACAGTTGTCACCTAGGGGCCAGACCAGGATTGACCCTTTAACCTTTACATGCAAGAACTATGACAATTAAATGCATCATAAGGCACAAGACATCTGTGTCTCTCGCTCGCTCTCTGTGTCTCTCGCTCGCTCTCTGTGTCTCTCGCTCGCTCGGTGTCTCTCGCTCGCTCGCTCGGTGTCTCTCGCTCGCTCGCTCGGTGTCTCTCGCTCGCTCGCTCGG